GCTGTCGACGGGTGGAACAGTACGCATCAGTGTCGAGACTGGGATAGCCTGTATGACTTTGCGTCACGTCATCGCATGTTGGATTCGGATGGTATTGTGTAAGTATACATCTCCGGTCAAGGAATCTCCATCGCTTGAGCGGTGCTCGGGGTGAGAGACCTCCAAATATCCTACAGTATTATAACGGGTCGACAACTTGTTTACCAATTCTTGATCTGAATCATGGTCACTAAGTGGCAGGAATGTATTGTTGGCCATCAACATCTATCTGGAGCAGGCGTAGGTCATTGCAATTACATCAATATGGATAGGGCACTGCCGGACCCTGTCGCGGAACTGCCCCCACGTGGCCCTGACAAGTTAGCCATCTCAATGCTCTCAGGCCAAAGGACATTAATAGGAAACAGCTAATACCAGAACTTGTACAGTGCGCTGTGTCAGGGGAACAGCCAACCCTGGCGACGGGCAATGACCGTGTGGCTCAACTCTAACAGTAATATGTTCCAAAAGCCCACAGGAGTCATGGCAAAAGATATTCCGTCCCATCTGAACAATAGTCGGTGGCTAATAAGGTTATGACCGTGAACAGTACTCATGATTTGTCAGAGTGTGAACTTGTGAGCGGGAAGCAAATGTTCCAGCTTCTTGTTATGGCAACCCAGTATCGAATCATGATACACCATTTGTGTGGGCATGATCTCATACGTCTTCCACATAATACAAGTCGAGATTCTAGACGCTGAGTCCCTGATTCGAAGGAGAAAATTGACTCTCGCTCGGACTTCCTTATAAATAATATGACGTTGATTTTGCCAAGTGGCTCCTCAAAAGGTCCTCTGAGGTCCTGTAGTACCCTACCCTATATCAGCGATTGATCTTCATTTTTAGTCGCGCAATCTATCTTAGCATCATTCGTTTCATCCCTTCCCTCCTTTCATTTTCATTTGCCATTACCGGTCTCTACTGAGGTGTAATGATGCTGTTTATTGTACGGAGTCATCGTTGTGTTTGATATTATAACATGAAACCCTCTACTGCTGGCGTTGTTGGCTTCAGCTTGTGGTGGCTCCTAGGTCTCACTATCATCGTGGCTGAGCGCACAAATGGGAGTTATCGACTAGAAGAACTATCCCCCTGTGCAGTATGTACCTCGCACAATATTTCCCATGCTCCTCTATAATTGACCCCACATATACAGCTGGATTGTCTGCAAGCCGCCATCCCTGCTTCCCACTGCGAACTGTCTGACATCGAATGTCAATGTGAAGATAAAGAGTTCATCAAGCACGCCTCAGCCTGTGCAGTGAAAACTTGTAAATTAGAAGACCTGATGCGTAGGTATACCAACCTATTTACAGTTGTTTGAAAGTTCCCGAACTTACCATAACTAACCTGACCGGCTTCATAGAACTGGTGCGAGGGGATGCCACGCAATGCAACCGGTCCAGTAAAAACCATCATAAACTAATCATCGCGCTAGCTATTATTACGCCGGCTATCACATTTACGGTCATAATCCTACGCATTTTGTCCAGACTGTGGACAGTCCATCAGCTGTGGTGGGACGACTGCATGCATATACTCGCAGGGGTACGTTCGATATCTGTGGCCCTTGTCCAAAGCGCCTCCAGCATTGGTATCCTCTAATAGTTCTCAAGGTCTTCGCGATCCCCCTGAGCATTTTCGGAAACTTCTGTAAGTCTGATCTCTTCCACCATGTCGTCCATCCATGTCAACCAAGCTGACAGGCTATCGTAAGGTGTCAATGAAGGATTCGGACTTCACCTCTATGATATCAAAGTCGAATCCATCACCCAGATAACCAGCCTCTTCTTCTGGTGTAAGTACCACAGCTTCCTAATAATACTACACACTAACCAAGGGGGGTCCTCAGGGTACATGTGTCAGATCTTCTGGCCCTTCACCATCTTCTTCGTCAAAATGTCCATCCTACTCCTCTACCTCCGCATCTTCCCAATCATCCTATTCAGGAGACTCGACTTCCTCTGCATCGCTTTCCTAGTCATCTCCTTCTTAGTCACCACGCCCATGGCCATCTGGCAATGCAAGCCCTTCCGAGCCGCATGGGACTACGACATCGACAACGCCCACTGTCTAAAGATAGCAGCCGTAGCCTACGCCAACGCCACCCTGAATATCATCACCGAGGTGCTAATCCTCATCCTCCCACTCCCAGTCCTGCGGACCCTCCACGTCTCCCGGAGAAAGAAGATCGCGCTTATCTCCGTCTTCAGCGTCGGTGTGATGTAAAACCCTCCCCCCTCCCTCGCACCGAATAAAACATGCACAAGATAATAACCAGAAGCAAAACCGAACAGAGTAATCGCAGTAGCATCCGCACGCATGCCCGCACTCGGCGAAATGGGAACATACTACGACCCGCCCTATTCCCAAGCCCCTGCGTTCCTGCTTAGCTGCGTCGAGGCAGCCATGGCGCATGTCTGCGCCGCTGCGCCGGTGATCTACACGGCCATTGTGCAGATAAAACGGGCGCGTGGGAAGGGCTCGCAGATGTCGCCTTCGACCTCGCGCGAGGCACAGGCGGGCTCGGATCAGGGTGGTGGGTCGGGGAACTCGAATAGGAAGTTCCGGCCAGCCATTTACTCTTCGTTGCATATGTCGGATGTGGCTCTCATGGGCCGAAGCTGGATGCAAAGTCAGCGTCGGTCTCGTGATTCTGCGCCTTCGGCTCATCATCTGGAGCGTGCTCACAGTGCTTACTACTCGGATCCTGAGTTGGCGGCTGGCCCGCGTTCGGTCCCGCGTCCTGGTTTGATACGTATGGGTACTACTCGCGGAAGTTGTGGCTCATCTGGGGGATTGACTTTGCTGCCGTCGCTTGAGATCAGTGATCGGATTGAGAGAGTATGACGGTCGGTAATAGTATACCTGTCACATATGTCGTCTGGGCGGGTGCCTGGCTTTCGTGGCATCTTTATATAAAGTTACTGCCGGTGTTCTCTCACCAACGAAGTGAATCACTAATGCTAATATATTGTTGTTATTGTTGCTTACGCTATGCTAAATAATGTATCCGCTCGAGTGGGTCCGGTCAGAATCGCAAATCATAGCTGCACGCCGATGGGTGTAGTGCATTTTTACTCTCATTTCAGCTCCTTGAGGGCAGCCTGGGCTCTCCTTTGGATTAATACGCCCAGAGGGAGGTCTTCTTCGTCATAGAATTCAATATCTTCGTCGACGCCGAAATCACGTAGCCGTTCACCTTCTGAGTTTCTCCAACCTTCTTCACCATAGTCGGACTCCTTTTCATCGGGACCATCAGATTGTTGTGATTCGTCCTCCTCTGCATCTTCCACCAGCCGTTTATGGAAGCGTTTGCGGCGCTCGATTTCGAGCCCAGCTCTTTGACGTCTAAGGTCCTCTGCCTTTCTTTGATTAAATGCCTGAATATCGAAGCCGGATGTCTCAGCGCCAGTGAAGGCAATGCTATCACTGACGTCTTTGGGTGGCAGAGGAATGCGATCTGGGTCCGGTGGCGGCCAGGAGACATGGGGATCTAACGCCTATTAGCCCTCACTTGTCGGCCAATTTGAGTCATGGGTGACCCGTCTTTCGTGTTTACTAACCTTCAAACCCATTGACCTCGTACTCTAGCCCTGTGCTACGGTCTGGTGTTCTCGCAAGTGGCCAGAACCAGCTTAAAACCTGACATCAACCAGTCAGCGACGACAGAAAGCCCAGGCCAAGGTGACTAACATTTGAACTCCCGCCCATTCCTTCTCTAATATTCGACCATATTCCAATGTCGTAAGGAAATTCTTGCCTCTTGATTCGCACACGAACACCGCCAGGGCCCTCCAAATACCCACCATAATGGCGGGCTCGTCGCAACAGCGTTTCGTGTCTCTCAATCTCCCAGGTCTCGATGGTGGTGGTATTCGCACCAAGCGACCAAAGGGTCCGCACAAGAAGTATAAACAGCATAAAAACAGTTAGGCTGTTTACGACAAAGAGAACAAACAAATGGCCTAGCTGCATTGCGCTTGGACCCAGGTACTAAGAGAGACAAATGTCAGCGCAAGGCGGATAATCTGAGTGATCCTCTTACGCTAGGAAGGTTCCGCGATGCCCACACAATCGAGACTCTTTCAAATAAGAGGGTTTCGAGATAACTCATACCCACGACTGCGTAGAATAGGAAGCGAACGAAGTGAGGGAATGTGAAATGGGAAACACAGTTTGCCGTCCACGGACAGTGGTGGTCCATTTTGGGAACACATCTATCGCACGAGATCAGTTCGCTACAGTATCCCAGAATATATTCCGAGTATCGCCCACCTCTGGCATGTCTTGCAATGATGCGCTCGTGGAGGTTTGAAGGCTTCACATCTACGGCACCATCGTTGTCGGCCATTAGCACGGTCGACCTCCAGTTGCTTGCCGTCTAGAGGCCTCCAGTGTCTAGGAGCGCGTCCTGGGTCTACAGTGCAGGATCGATAGTAGCATATCCAGATACACAGGGCGAATATGTTAATGCGCCATACTTCGTGCTCCCTGAGCGGTGCTGGCTCGAAATAGTTGAAGAAATACTGCGACGTATATGCGAGGAAGCTGATCAACACGCAGACCGTTGGAATCGCGAGTCGCGATATATGAAACGAGGAGCAAAGCATCCTGATTTCAAGTCATTATCTGGTGTGAAGCCCTGCGTATCGTTGGCGTTGCAACATGGTTGATATGTCTTCCACAATAATGTTCGGAAGGAATGGCCCAGAATTCGCTGACTAATATATGCTCACGTGGCATGTGCCGATCATGTGCGTGGAAATACTCGGTTGTTAGTACCTATCCTTCATTGGCTTCCCTTCCTTCCATGAGAATCAATTTATCCTCACCAACACGCCAATCAATTATTCCATTTATATACCATAATTCCTATCATATATCCATTTATGATTGTCTCCATCCAGATCTATAACAGCAATGGTCTCTCGTTTGCATGAATATATCTTCTAAAGATGCCGATCACGGCTCTTCCCCCAGCCACTGTCCGGGCGATTGGCTCAACATCTGTAATATCGGACCCGTGCGCTGTGGTGAAGGAGCTAGTAGACAATGCCTTGGATGCTTCTGCGACTTCTATAGGCATTGAGATATCTCCGAACACAATTGATGTGATACAAGTAAAAGATAACGGACATGGGATCCCTTCCAATGACCATGCTTTCGTTTGCAAGCGCACGTTTACTAGCAAGATCCAGACCGTTGAAGATCTTCAGACTCTTGGAGGGAAGTCTTTGGGATTTAGAGGGGAAGCTCTTGCCAGCGCTGCTGAAGTATCAGGTGGTGTGACTGTCACCACTCGGGCTGAGGCAGAGATGGTCGGCACATCCATCAAATATGGAAGAAATGGAGAGCTTATCAGGTACCTATGCTCTTCTGATAATTACTTTCTTGAGGCTAATCTCACATATATGAAGCTCTCAGCGTGCTTCGCATCCTGTGGGCACGACAGTCCGTATAACAAATCTTTTCAAGCACATACCTGTTCGAAAACAATCTATTTTGAGAAGTGCCATGAAGACATTAGCCCGAATCAAAAAGCTTATACAGATATATGCTATGGCACAACCCTCAAAGAGGCTTTCATTAAAGGTTCTAAAAGCTAAGAACGAGAACAATAATTGGATCTATGCCCCTGGGCGGGATGCAACAATTACAGACGCAGCCTTAAAAATTGCTGGCACTGATGTCACTTCCAATTGCGTCTTGAAGAAATGGCCTCCTGAAGACAATATAAACTCCGAACGACACCAAGAGGAGCATGCATCCGAGTTTGGGCTTCTAGCGTTATTGCTGAATCTGGAGACCGGTACCTTGTGTTGCCCTCCCTCTTATCTCTTGAGAGCATGGCTAACCATAGCAGATTGCACAAAATTGAGCAACGCTGGTCAATACCTAACTATCGATGGCAGGCCCATATCCAGCTCTCGAGGCATAGGGCAAGATGTATCCAAGTTATACAAGTCGTATCTTCGTTCGGCCCTTTCCCGCAGTGGGGGCAGTCTGTCCATAACTGATCCATTCCTCTGTTTGCACATCCAATGCCCTGAAGCAAGTTATGACGTCAATATAGAACCGGCAAAAGATGATGTTCTGTTCGAAGATTCCCAAAGACTACTTTCGCTTATGGAGGACCTCTTTCGGAGTATGTACGGCGAAAAGGAGCCTCGTCACAAGAAGCGACCGAACTCTGCAAAAGGGAAGTCCGCTTTGCCAGATAAAGATGCGTTTGATCTCCTTTTGGCTCGAAGAAGCCCATCCGAAGACTCACCATCTGTGGATACGAACTCGGGCTTTTGTACGGCTCGCTCTCTTGCTCAGTCAGCAGAGCCTTCGCCTTTCTTGGACGTTACGAATGGCCAGAGCTCAGCCTCTTCTCAGATAAGTAAAGTATCAGGTGCCGAGAGCCGCAGAAAGTCTACGGATCGCGAGCTCTTGAACCCTTGGTCTATAACAAGGTGCAACACTCCGTTTCGCAGATCCGGTACAAGCCAGACCCGAAATACAACAGCCCGTCGGCCGCCCATGAATGACGACATGCACACTTCTGAAGAAAAGCGCAGAGGCTTAGAGGAAACGCCGCGACGGTACTCGGCGGGGTCTCTACCCAGCCCAACTGCATCAACTCCGTCAGCGTCGAGCCATCCATCAGTTTTGCGATCCTTTAAGACGACCCAGGCGTCACCCACAAGCCGCGGTTGCGATGAGGCCACAAGGGCTTCAAGGCAACGGGCCAGGGAAATGTATGGTAACGGAGCTCTGGACACTTGGTTCGGCAAGACTACTCAAATGACACTCGCCCGGATAGTGACTGAGGAGCCGTCGGGTGACGATCAGGAAGAACCTCCGTTGGGCCAATTAGCGCATGAACGCTTTCTCTCTCAGGAGCAGTCTTCGCCCGAGTCGTGCGAAATCGCAAGCCGCACAATGCCCATTTGGAGAGGCTCCGCTAACAGTACACCCGAGAGTTCTGTTCTCTCGAGTACTCAGCCACAAAATCCTACTTCTAGAGTACCGCCACCGGGTACAGCTTCAGAAGTAAGAGAAAAGCGTCAAGAGTTTCCGGTTCTTGAGCAGTGGTCTGCCAGGCTACATAACCTTACTCAGGATAGCCCAAAATCCGATTTGGAGACCGCTCTAGATTTCGAGCATCGAAAAAAAGAAGCTATCCAAAGACGACGAGAGATTAAGAGTCGTTCACACCCACCTTCGACTAACTCGCCGCATTTGAGCAGGTACCTTGCTGCGCGTGCTGCTCTGCGTCCCGAATCCAATCAATCTGTTCATAACTTGAATTTATCAACCTCAGCAGAGGTTACGACAAACAATGTCTTAAACCCCCATGACCCAAGGTCATACCTTATACGACACCAGGACACAAGCCGACAGGACGAACTACCGAGCGATAGCAAGGTTCGGCGTACTAACACGAACAAATTACCATTCGAAAGAATACCAGAAGGCTGTGAATTGCACGATATTGGAGTTAATCTATCTGCTACTCTGCCGGCCCTTTTAACGCTATCAGGGGAACTACATAAGAGCGATTTATATACCCAATGTGGAAAGCAGTTTGAAGCATTTTCCGCTTCTGATCTGCAATCTGATCTTGATCTTGTTACGTTATGGTCGTCTAGATTATCCGCCCTGCTCAAAAGCAAGTACAAGGCAAAAGAGGGATCTGGAGATCCTACACCTCGGTTTGACTTTTCTGCCCTGGCCGAGACGAATAATAGTCAGAATTAATGCATATCATTCATTCGTTTGTTCATAGAGACAGCACAGCTTGACAACCCCCTAGCTTCTTGTCAATGCGATTCAAAGCGGGGCGACAATGCATACATATTCTGTTTCCCGTTTACCTTATCGCGAGTTCTCTGTTATTCCCAGAGAGTGGGTCACATTAGAGCAAGAACACGATCTGGTCTCAAACTCTGGACACTCAATTCAAGACCACTGCGCGGACCGGTGGGGATAGTTGCCATATTCGGCAATCCGAACGTCACTAAATAGTTACAACCCTATGACATCAACCCCTACACAGCGGCTATAAAACCAATCATGGACTCTTCCTAGGGCCCAATTGCGTCCAGGTCGCAAACATGGATACCTACGGCTCCAAGAAGCCTGTGGTCGACATCGACCGAACAATTGACCAATTAGCCGGGCAAAAGCCCAGGCTGGGCTTAACCGCCGGCGATGTCGGCATCTTCAAATCGACCATCCTCCCCTCATTCACCCTGCATACCGGACTCTCAATCGCCTCTTTTATTGCAGCAAAAGCTACCGGTAAGGGCGAGATCAAGGATTGGTGCTGGCCATCAAGTCAAGTAATCAACGCCTGGTGGAGCGCTGTTGGCCGTCAGATGTTCTACGAGAATGTTTCCTTTTCAACCGCCTGGAAATCTATCCCCTGGACCGAGAAAGTGCTACTCAGCTGTGTGACAATCTGGGGTAACCGACTATTCTATCGCATCGCGAAGAGAACCATTGCCCGTGGCAAAGACGATCCAAGATACGATGAGATGAAATTGAAGGATCCTGGGTTCTGGAAATCCGCTTTCTTCAAGCTGTTTCTTCCCGAGGCTGTCTTCTTAACTATTGTCACCCTTCCATTTACTCTACCTTTCCGGTTAACTGGGTCGTCTCTGAATTTAGACACTGACACTGCCGCAACCATTCGCGGTCTCGGCGTGGCACTCTTCAGCGCTGGTTTCGCTCTTGAAGCTATGGCCGACTGCCAGCTAGAACTGCACCGCCAGGAACGAACTGATCTGTGCCGTCACGGTGTCTGGAGTATCGTCCGTCATCCGAAGTATATCGCCTCTACAAGCTCTATTTCGTACCGTAAAGTGAGGGATGAATGCTAATGGGATAATAGCTACTTGGGTGACGCATTGGTGCACATCTCCTTCGTCGTCCTTAACGCTGCCAATACTTTCAACCCCCTTGTGCTCCTTGGCCCTGTCGCAAACTACGTCTACCTCCGCTTCGTGGGCGGTGACAAGCAAAATGAAGCTAGCCAGGAGGCCCGGTACAAGGAGCAAGACTCGCACAAATATCAGCAGCTGCAGACATGGCGGCGCGAGAAGAACAGCTTCTGGCCTGGCCTCTCTGAATCGACGAACCCGTGGGCTTGGGCTGTTGTCGGCAGTGGACTGGTTGGTGTTGTTTTAGAAGAGGCTATTCGGGGGTGGGCCTTGCAGTGATATCAGTATAAAAATATCCGCTCCTACTATTGCAAAATATATTATAATGTATACCGTTATGAACTCATTCCAAACATACAGTGTCGCATGCTTAACCTAAAGCACTCATGGCTTAAATCAGGGAACAATATCACCAAAGCCGCACCGTAGCCAACCTAGTAGCATACATGCAAAGAAGACAAGTCAATACCCCTTCCCTCTCTTATACACATTCAACAAATCCTGCCCCCTCTTTTTCCTCCCCACGTTTTCCTTCGCGATATCCAACGACCTAGGAAAGTACTCCACCCCCATAGAACTCACATGCGGGCTAATCTGCACATTAGGAACATCCCACAGCGGATGCCCCGCCGGCAGGGGCTCAGGATCCGTCACATCCAACGCAGCACCACTCAAGTCGCCCGATTTCAACGCCGCAATCAGCGCATCCTGGTCGACGACCTTCCCGCGGGAGATGTTCGTCAAATACGGCTTCGGCCCTTTGGATCTCTGACTAGCAGCCAAGAGCGCAAATTCCTCGGCGCCGAGCAGATGCGTCGTCTGCGGCGTGAGCGGAAGTGAGATAACCAGATGATCGAGGCCGAGAGCGAGGAATTCACGGATGGAAGCTTTGTCAGTTCCGTGATGCCAGGAGACAGGCACCGTGCCTTCTTTGTCGCCCGTGCCGGGGACGATGAACCCGTTGTCATGGCGCGAGGACGGCGTAGGACGCGGTGAGGCTGTGTATGCGTAAACGGTCATGCCTAGGGCTTTGGATACTCGGCCGACTGGGGGTTAATCTCTTGTCAGCTGGGTCTGTTATTTACGTTTTGGTATGTATGTATTGTTAAGGGTACGAATCTCTGCATAGAAAGAAAATAAACTGAACTTACTCTGTCGTCCAATACTCCCGTACCCCAATATCCCAACCCTTTTCCCGACTTGATCGTGCACCTTCTGGAAGTACCCGCTGTTGCTATCGCGCCATTCGTGTTTCCTCTGCCCTTCGTACATGTACGCATACTTGCGCGAGTGCACAAGCCAGTTCATGGCCGTCCATTCGGCAATCGGGGGCGCATGCACCCCAGAGCTGCTTGTCAGCGGGATGGCAGTTTCCCTGAAGATGGGGTGCTGGATGGCATGGTCCAGGCCGGCGGAGAGGAAGTGGATGAATTGAACGCTGTAGTATGTTATTATCCATTTATCACATCGTCTCCTTTAACAATCGACTGCAGTTATATACTATGCCAAGTGGATAGTTCTACTGTACGTACTTCTCGGCATCCTCGGGTTTCGGGAGATTAGTGAATGTAACAATGTAAGTAGCCTTCCTGGCCAGTTCTGCATGTCGATGTACATCCAATAATTAACCTCTGTTATATTGATATCGATATTGAGATTGAGATTGAGATTTGTCTAGGATAAAACTCACCACCGGGTATATCCTCCCCCCTCTTCAACGTCACACTCGATACCTCCAGCTCGGGGAACTTGGCTTGGATCTCCGCCAGCTGATCCGGCGCTAAGTCGCGCATGAAGGCTATCAGCAGATGTTCTTTGGGTAGTGCTGCGTCGCCCATGGTGTCCGCTGTCGGTCTATGACCTTTAAACTAACTAGTCGGCTGTATACTGTAACTCTGCGCTGCTGAGAATAATGGATAATTGTGCGAGGGATATGGAAATGTGTCGCCTATGTCGCAATTGTGAGGGAATCGCACGCGGCCCTTTGGGGAAAGTGGGGTTTAGGATTGGATAAATTGAATGGATTCCTTATCGTAACTCAGATAAACTGAGTCTGATTTCTAATCTGGGTTTATTCGACGCAACTTATCTGAACTTCCGAGGCTTTTGTTTCTGGATTGATTAGGGTTGGTTGAGGGTATTTCCTTTTTTAGTTGGTTTTGATATCCATAATAGTGCATACTGCTTGCATGATACGTACAAATATATAGTACAGCTGGACTAATTGACACATCTCCGGGATCTCAGAATACAACTATACCCCTTCCCATATATCAAGAAAGCGTTTGTAAACAGAAGAAGGAAAGAAAAAAAAAAAAAAGGCTCAAGGAACCCAAACCATCGAATCCTGTACATACCCATCCAACTCCCCCGTCGACCGAACCTCAAATCCCAACTTCTCATAAACCAATCTCCCCGCCTGTGTAGCAGATAAGTACACCTCCAGGCTTTCCTCCTTCGCTCTCTCCAACCCCCAGTTCATAAGCATCGTCGCGACACCCCTTCTCCTTGCCGCAGGATGCGTCCCTAGAATATCGACATCTATCATGGCAAGCAGATCAGCATGAATCCCAGAAAACCTCTATAGCACCTCTACAACACCCCCCGAGACACCGTCAAAGAAACAGAAGAAGAAAAAAAAAACATACAATAATACCTCTTATCCCCCATAACCGCCACCTGGCGCTCATGATTCTTACCAAAGAACCTCTCACAAAAGTCCTCGTCACAGCTCTCCGGCCAAGGCGGACTGAACCCATCCTCAAGCTCCTCTTCTATCTCCGCCCCGGTCGTGGGGTCCGCATCGGACGCCGGGGCAGGGAGCGACCACAGCGCGAATCCCACAATTGCAGGCTCGTTCTTGGCCGGGTCGGCGTCCGTGTCGACTACTTTCAAGAGCTGTTTGCGCGGGTTCCGGATGTCCTTGGCTAGGGCGCGCGTCCACCAGGCGTGCACGTCGGGTGTGCGCGGGAAGAGTTTCGTATTGAAGGCGTCGGAGAAGCTTGTGAAGAAGAGGGTTGCCAGCGTGGGTGTGTCTGGGGGGGTGGCGGGGTGTAGTTCTAGAGGCATTTTCCTTCTTTTCTTTTTTTTTTGGGGGGGGGAAGGTTTCTTTTCTCTAGTTTTGTTCTTGTTCTCGTCTGGATTTGGGGTTGTTTGTGTTGAGATGGGAAGGTGGGTTTGGCGTGGTGGTGTGATTTCTGGGAGGTGCCAAGATTGATTAATATATCTCGTGTTAAGGGATTGTGTTAAGTTATGCTGTTCCTGGTTTAGTGTGTGTCGAAAGGACTAGGGTGTTAGTGCGTTCGTATGCATGCTTCTTAGGGTGGTATTCTGTTTGCTGTGTAGATGCAAGTGTATAGGGCGTCTGTTCTAGGGCGTTTCCTCACTTCTCGAGGATGAGGATTACGCCACCCCTACTTGACGGAGTATCTGAATAGGGCTCATGACATGAATAAAGCAGTGGTTGGTAAGGTGAGGCCATTTCACATATGAAAACACATCCAAAGCAGTGCGTGCCCCAAGTGATTCACGGCAGACTGCAGTTGTTCATTAGATTGCCGATTATATGGAGACAGGCACGTAGACAGACACATAACCTCCGCTGAAGGACAAGACAGTAGTAATCAAAACAGGACATTACATCACCGCGCACACCCATTGCAGCGTGCACCATATCAAATTTTCTCATAAGACCGTTCCGGCATCGTCACAGGGCTTGGGCCCGAAGCGTCTTGACTCCGCGGTTGCGAAGGCAAGAATGATCTTCGGTTGTACTGTCCATGTTGCATCGATGCGCGACTCTCGCCGCCGCCTTTCATTGCTTCGATCTCCCTTTTCACCCCCTCGTATAGATGCTCAATGTACTGGATCTCCGCCTGGACGTCAAGCTCGCATCCATCCAGACAGAACTCACGTTCTCGCTGCTCAATGTATTCACGGATATTGCGCCATTCGTTCTGGTAGTGCTTCAACCGATCTGGTAGGCCCGATCCCTTCAGGTAGGTTAGGATGCCGGCCATGATGGTGTTGATGGCGCCGAACGCGGTCACGGCGGAATGCGGTCCAGCAGCGGCGCCGAGGGCCGTCAGCGACGCAGCTACAACAATCTGGATCGCCAGACACGTGTTGATGAGGATACTGTAGAAGCGGTATCGCTTGGCGGTGAATCGTTCGGCTTGGACCACTCGTGCGTAAATGCCGACGTTGGGAGCGGTACGGTTGTAGTGGTGGAGGGTGTGCAATGTCGGGACGCTGTCGATGCCGGTGAGGGCCCGGAAGACAAGAAGCTTGTCGCTGGGTGGGATCAGCGCGTTTGCTTCCGTTCTCGCGATTGTGAGGCGCTTTGCGCGAACTTCTGGTGGCAGTTCCATTGTGTCGCTGCGATGGTTCGTTGGGGGCACGCCATGAGCTGCAGTGGGAAGAACAGGGTCTGGATGGCCAATGAAGGCGGCCAGCAGCCGTCTTGCAAGGCCATCGCGTCGTGGGTATTGTTCGTTTGACATGGTGATGTGAGGAGATTTGTTGAGCATGAGCGCCGCCGGTAGCGAAGCTGGGGGGGGGGAGAAGACCCTATAAATGCAAGGACAGACGCTCCCACTTCCCGATAGAATCCCGGGGTATGGGTCACAATAACCATTGTTTCACTGGCTTTCCTACTTGGTCCTCCCAATCGGTGAGACTCAGCTAGCCAAGTTCTGCTTAAATGGGCCACATTTTTCTGCAAGTGGCACGGACACCGTGAGTGACAGAGAGACAGGAACCTGAGTCAAAACCAATCATTGGACCAGAGAAGCTCGAACGTGCCAAACTTTGGAGGGATACCCACACGGCTGGACCCTAATCACTGCAGATCCAGAAAGGTTTGAGCAAGCTATCCGACAGCTACGGCGAGCGAGCGGGAAATTGAGATACGTCTGACATGGTACAGCCACTCATCGACCGCGGTGGGTGGTCGAATTGGTGACAGTGCCTGTGGATCCGCCATGGGTAATGGGAAATTGGGCCGCGATGGCAGAGCTCATATGTACTTAGCTCGAGCTAATGCCGGGATGAACTGCCGCGAGTACGACCCTGTCTATCAGCAGCAACGACGTGAGACAGGTACATATCATATCACATTGGATTCATGGGGGCCAGCCAACAACTTAACCTCACGAGACACGTTGCCGGAGGAAAAGGGGATCAAAAAAAAATTAAAAATAAAAAAAATAAGAACCAAAGCATAATCACACGAGGGTCAAATTGCACTTGGAGAAGAACACGGCTGATCGGATCACAATGGGCATGGATCGGCAACACTAAGATTCTGGTTAATGCCGAAGCGAACCCATAGATCCAGCCCGTCATATCGGTTGAAGTTGCTCATTGCTCAGGTCTGCATATTGACTTTCTCTCGTGGACAAGTCGAACCCGCCTGTCAGGGTTTCGGATACTCGTCGACGAATGATATAGATCCTATCTCAGGGGTGGAGATGAGTTGCATACATAGTAATCAATTCTCCTGACCTGCACGGCCAAACTCATGCTTTTCATTCCGGGATGGGGATGGGGATTAAAGTAAGTATAAAAGTCGTCCAGACGAAAAGCCGTATCATACATCAGCGATATAATTATGACAACCCTCGGGTAGTCAATGCAAAATGGTTCACAACAAATCAACTCTACCAAAATGTCATATGCAATGAGAATACAGAAAACCAGCCTCGTAAAAATCCAAGCCATGTCGTATCGTCATGAATGTAGACCATCGTTACGATGGGACCCCCAACCTCCGCAACCGCTCTCTTAATGCATCCATCTCGCCGTCCGCTTCGTTCTCGCCCTTCTTCAGAGAAACGGACCGATATTCGGTGTCCCCTCCAGGTGCTCCGACAGTCACCCAGACAAACCTGCCGCCACTTCCGCCCGCTTGCGGCCTTTCCTGGGCACCCTCCCAGAACAACCCATCAGATACAGGTTGCTGCTCTGAGGGTCGTTCGCCGAGGCGGCCAAGCTTAATCCAACCTTTGAGGACAGTCTTCATAAATGTAATCTTCGGTAAAAACGCATTCGCTTCCAGGATGTCACGAAGCCGCTTATCCGTGGGAGTAGTGCCAGTGCCGTACGCAATACTAAGGAATGTGCCCGCCTCGTCGGATGCCATCGATCGGCTATCGAAACCAGATGGGTGCATTTTGCCCTTAGCACTCAAGTAACGAGCAGCGGACGGGGAGAGATGATAGAAGTCAATCCATGGTGACGAGCTTCTGGTGCGTCCAGGCGAAATGACGACCTTGGTATGGTCCGGGAAATTAAACTACAGGTTTGAAATGTTAGCAGGCAGGAAGGAAGTATGCAAATGATAAACTAACCTGGAAGGCACCATCACCGAACCCCCAGACGCCTACATTGCCAAACCGTTGGTAGAATTTGACAAATTGGCCGTGATGGTCCGGTGGCAGCTGATCCTCGAGATACGCTTCGTTTCTTCCCAGAGATCCGATCATGTATTCGCCAAATTGGTGTGCCAATTTCACACGTTTGATCTTTTCAGCGTCGGCCCGCGCGCATTCCACACTGGCATTCAATCGGGCTTTGTAGACAAGGCCGGACGAGGAACTGGACGAACTCTCCCGTTCAAACACGGAAGGGGAGACAAAGGCGCGGCGAATACTACCACGATACTCAGGCAACTCATTGTCACAATTCTCGTAGAATTCGACCAGCCGTCCATGGCGAGGGACAAGCTGTCCCGCTTCCGAGTAGGCGTGTGTCCCATTCTCCTTTTTCTCCTGGTGCCGGGCTTTGCGCCGAATGTGCTTCTCCCCGTCGCGCATCACGACCCCACTCGCTGGCTGACCATTACCAGATTTGAACACACACCCGACACTTCCATCGTCCAGGACATACCCAATTCCGTACCGGTTGGTATAGTCGACCCATTTAATGACATACGTATGAGGTGCACGCTTCGAGGCTGTCCGGCGCCGAGCAGATGAATAGGGAACCAAATTGGCCAGCATGTGCCGCAGGTCGGCATTGACGTCAATGACGGAGGACCGGGGCAGGAGTTCGCACGAGTCATCCTTATGGAAAAGAGGGTGCAGCCCGATCGAAGACCGTGGTTTACTTCCAGACAGTGGAGATGTCTTGCTACCGGATCGGCCAGCCTGAGCTTCAGCCGCTAAGCGACGGCTTTGAGCATCCAACTCATCCCTTGCGGTCACAGTGCCGGCCTCTTTGCGGTTCGGGGCGTCTCTGGTTCCGGTCTTGGTTAGGGCACGTAAAGAGCTCTGGCGTGAAATAGTCGCCAACTTCTCTGGAGCTGTAGGCGCAGGCCGTTCTTTGGCATTAAGCAGCCCCGCTGATTCCTGGCTCGCTGCTTCCAAGCGTCGGGACTGCGAACGTGTCTTGCCGACAGTCAAAACACCGGCTTCGTGGCCAGTGTTAGACTCTGTCGAAGCAATATTCCGCTCCGAGTCACGCATTGGCCCTGAGCCTGATGCCGACACGCCACGTCGCGCGCGGATAGGCCTCTCGGCAAGTCCTCCACTAGGCACAGGAGCGACATCCAGGGCTAGCTCTCTCACCTCGGCAAGAGCTGGTGCTGTCAAAACCGGTGGATCACAGAGAGCCGGGATCTTTCGAAGTGAGCCCCGACCAATAGATGCCTGCTGCCGAAGGGTGGCAGCATGGCTCTGCGACGCTTGGCGCCGCTGCTGGGCTGCAGCAAGTGCCGCTTGTGTCCGTGAGAGCGACACCGAACTGCTTCGCAATGACAACGTGCTTCTAGACGAGAGAAGAGTGGTGTCTTGTGAAGGGCCATCCCTACGACTTACTAGAGTCGCTTCAGGGATACTCCAGTCTCCTTCGGGAGCATGAGGATATCTGTAAACAATATCTTCGGGCAACGGAATCACTGGCTGCAGGCCTTTCTCCTCCTCCACTAGGCATTCAGCAAACGCAGATTTGGAAGAGTTTTTCCCGGCAGCCCTGCGAGCAGAGCCATCCGGCTTTCGACCCACGCCACAGAGGCTGTAGAAGGCTGCCTTGCATATGGGGTACCGCTGGTTCAGATCATCGACGTATTCTATGTAACTCGCCAGCTTCTCGTCGTAATCTAAGCTATACCCAAACATCATGCGATCTCCCCGAGGTTCGTCCGGTTTCAACCATACTGGCTTAGCAAGGCAACATGCAGGATCCAGTCTTTTGGGTATGCAACCCTCGTACATATGGAAGAATGGGTGCTCGACAATGTCATCGGGATCTGGGCGTTCATTTTCGGCAAGGTTAAGACAAGAGCTAACAAGCGACTTGGCTTCTTCTGGAATATGGTTCAAGCATTCTGAGTCCTTCGGCCAGACGTAGGTGAGACTTCTGACTTTCTTATAGATCTCTTCTTGGGTCTTTGATTGGAATGGTGGGTATCCAGTAAGCATTGCAAAGCTAGAAGAGTTGTTTAGCCCAGTTTCAGAATCTCCATGCCAGCTGTCAAAGAAAATATCCACTTACCATATCACACCCAATGACCAGATATCAACCTTCTGTGTGTGACCTCCTTTACTCTTATCAAGAACTTCGGGTGCTATATAATTTGGCGTTCCACATAACGTTTTTCTTCTCTTCTCATCCTTCTCAGATATTATCATGGCTGCGAGGCCAAAGTCTCCAACTTTAATATCCATATTCTGGTCCAGAAAAAGATTGCCCATTTTCAAGTCGCGATGCGCAACATTCCGCTTATGCAAATATTTCACCGCACCGCACAATTGTATCATGAAGCGCCGCACCTCCGGTAAACTGAGGGATCTCCTCTTCTTAACCATATCCATGACCGATCCATTGGGACACAACTCTAGGATCACATATATACATTTCTCAAAAGCAAAAGCGCGGTGGAAGGTGACGATATGAGGGTGTCGCATTTTCGAATGGATTTGAAGCTCGGTGCGAAACTATCATGGGTGCTATTAGTAACTCTCAATTTTCGGTCCGGCAGGAGTGCGCTAGGTACCTTCTCTTGCATTTTTTTCTGTGCCATCTCCGACCTGACGACCTTCATAGCAAAGACGCGGTTATTCCGTAATAAAGTGCCTTCGTAGCAGATAGCGAATCCTCCTTTACCAAGAAATGCCCCCGTCGAATATCGCTCCCCATCTTCTTCAGGTTCGGCGACCAATGGCGGCGGTGGCGGCGCATGGTTCTTTGAAGAGGCAGCTTTTTGAGCTGCAGCTGCAGCTGCAGCATTGCGGTCTAAAACTTTGCGCTCCATCGGCTTCGGCTTGATCACTTGGTTTGTTGATCGCGGTGATAGTGCCTCCATTTTTGTTCTTTGGAATCCTCTTCTTCTAGGCCTCGCTATCGGTGGGTATCAATAAAATAGTGGTCGAGACCAATTGCGCAGGGGCGGGGAGATGGGTTGAAGTCAGGCAAGGCAGTCGTAACGTTCATCAATTATAAAGAATCAAGCGCGGAGGGGGTATACTGGCGCGATAGTGCCTATTCTGCATCAGTATACCTCAAGGAAGATAAGATATGGCGAGATGGTATTGTCAGCGGTACCCATAGGGCAGTGCATTGAAAACCTATGCTTGCGTAGTTGATTCGGCGATGCCAACACCGACCCGAAACGTAAAAAGAAAGGAAGAACCCCCCGACCACATGGGAAAATACTTACCAAAAATCAAACAAAATCAAACAATGCCGCTCAAAACAGGTATATGCATCCAACGCCGCTCCAACCGGACTGAAAGCCTGCGAGGGGGGTGGGGGTGATAGGTTGAGACGAAGGGATGGCTACCTTACAACAACGAGAAGGAAATCCTACGACTGGTCTCCAAACGGTTTTCCCGAAACGGCAATCGATAAACATTGACCCGAATGCCGGAACAACGGGCGCTGCTGACATCAGCATGCACAAGTGCAGGAACATCACTACCTTATCCAGTCAGATAATTATGTGCACAGATGACGCATCTAACCTGATTAGCTCTTCAAACTGTAGAGTCATGGACTTCGTGCTCTCCGCTTATTCTCTCACTCCCTACCCTTAACCTGTAGCTCTTTGTCTCTCTCCTCTTCATTATGTCCCTCACATTAAAACTCTCCTCACTCGCGATTCGAACTTTGTCAAAACCAATCGCTGTATGCTGACACGTACTTTATGCATCATAACAGATACTGACAGCGGGTAGAATCACATCAAAGCTCAGGCCCGCGAACATGAACGCTTTCGGAAAGTCTGCGTCGCCATGGCGCAAGCGCTTCACCGGTTCGATATGCGACTCCGGCTAGGTGCTGTCCGTGATAACGCCGCCTCTCAAAAGCGAGCAGCTGCCGAAGCCGCTCTCAGGAAGCACAAGCCCACATCTCCCACGGTCAAGACGGAGGCGGAGTCGAAAGCAGAAGAAGACGCCATCGCAAAAGCCAAAGCGGCCGCCGAGGAGGCCGCGAAACCAGCCCCGAAACCCCACATCCGACCCCTCTCGGAATCTAAGGCGATCGAGTCTGGCGCGACATTCATCAGTGAGACATTCTTATTCATTGTGGCAGGTGGCTTAATTGTATTCGAATCGTGGAGGTCCCGACGGAAAGAGAACACCCGAAGAGAGGACGTCGAAAGTCGGTTGGCCGAACTCGAAAAATCCGAAACAGCCGCCCGAGAAGCTCTTCTGGCTGTGGAGAAAGAGCTTCTAGCACAAAAGGCCAAGCATGGCGAACTATCGAAATCTTCGCCTAGGATCCTGCCCCGCGAGGTCTGGGACGTCGAGAGACAGGAGGAAACAGAGCAGGTCGAAGAGCAGGGCTGGTGGGCTTGGATCTCATCCTATTTGCCAGTCGGTCAGACTCCAGAGCAGCAAGCAGAATCAGTCATCAGGGAAAGTAAGAAGACAATTTCAAAGGCGCCCATGCCTGTTAGCGAGGTAGTACCAGCACCGAATCCTGCCAGCCCTGACCATAGTTTGGAGTCGAAGAAGGCTTGAGGGATTACCCACTCATGGATAGATTCTTTGCGTTTCTTTTGTGCAGATATCATTATAGAACTTGTTGAAGGCGCGTTTTGGTGTTTTATATTTTGAATATCCGGGATGCGACATTTAGATACCCTTCTCTGTTACAAGGAAGAAGCAGATGACTTGATCTCCTCTCTTACCACTGACATGTAATACAAGTGTACATAAGTATGACTTGCTATGTGCCTAACAATACAACTTTACACAAACTATGAATACCCAAACCAGTCCTTCTATTTTCCTTATTCGCGGCCAGTTCTGCTCCACGCTTCGGCGCCGTGCCATCTGGAAGGTCATCGGCCCTGCTTTAACGGCATCCACATTGGGACTGGAAGGTGTGCTCGCTACTTGTATTCCCTTGCACAACTATATGCCTGACAAATACCCTAGAAAGTGAACTCCAAGACTGCGACCTCAACTTGCAGTTACAGTCTTACTCGTCTCTGAGAATTCTTCTCCTCAGCCCATCCTCTCTTCAAGCCTCCGACAAAGAAAACACATCCTCTCGGTTGATCAACTTCTACCATTCTCGGGATAACTCATATTGCCATAAATATGCAATTGCCTTCTTTCTTTCTGGAAACTCATTCAACAGAGCCAGTGGAAAGTGTGATCTGAACGGGCTGATGGCTCTACAAGTGTTGTACGGAGTCTACCACCACCAGAAACAGATCCTCTTCTAGTACTGACCAAGACACAACATACTCACAGAGTAGCCGAATGCCTACCAGCTCCAATCCCGATAATCCCCATACCTGACTCATCCTGTTTGTTTTCCTGCCTCGAAGAGTATACGACTGGTCTTGCTGAAATACCTTTGCAAAACCCGTCTCTTACAGATTCTATGGCTTTGCTATCTCATGTCACTTCTGCCCACCCCAGCGTGCTCTCTGATCAAGAAACGAATACTCTAAGTGATCTATTTCCATCACTGAGAAGTTTGAGTCAGGCCGTTCGTACTTTAGAAGGATGGGAAGTTTTGGTGGACCACCTCGGGGAAGTGCGAACCAGAGAAATTGCAGAATTTTGGGATCATGATAAGATATATGAATGATAATACACAGGAGTTCGTCTTAGTCTTTTATTTACTTTTTATTGCTGTTGTTATCATTATTTTCCTTGAACCTGTTTGAGTTTCTAATGAAATTGACTAAGGTTGGTCAGGTTAATACCAGGGCTTGATCAAAATATATAGCCGTAGCACTCCGTAGTGTAATCTCAGCTCCACTCAATCCAGGATTACCCCTTATTGCCTCAGATGCATTCAGTAAGACCAATCGAAATAAGTATAGAGTAAAATCGACCCGACTTCGTCTTTCTTCCAAGGGATTCCCGTCTTGGGAATTAAGGGGAGCGTTTTCTGTTGATAAATTTGCGAACTATAGGATGCAGGGATGACGTAGGGAGACCCTTTGGGACACCAATGGAAAATGACTGCCTGGGGCCAATATCTCACTCCTTTTGAAGTTCATACAAATAGACCCCAAATCAACCTTACATAAAACGAATACGGAGAACAGATAGATAAATCTTGAGGAACTCTATTAATAGTCATAATATATTGAATGTCATTTTGCAGTACAACTCTGGATCTCCAGGGACAAGGCACCAATTTTGCCGCCAGAACCCTGAAAGGAAGAGGCGAATATTGTCGAGATTATTAACCAGTACCAGACCTTGAATTTAAGGGATTGCGCGTTGTCGACCTGAAAGGAAGTCAACCCAACGGTGCCACACGTGTGTGTGTGGCGCAGACGGAGGTTCCATCGGCTGTCCCGCCGAATAACAATACTAGTTGACTTGACGGTCTTGCGTCTTGTCCTCTACAGGTACCACATCGTCATTCCTCCCTCTTTCCCCCCCCATATTATCTTGCAACACTCATTCTACGAGCGTTGTTCCGTTTTATCCTTCTTCACTTTCTTTACTCGTGTGTGTATACACTTGGAATGAGCGACCTTTCTTTTGCGCTCATTCCCCTCAGTTATTGAACACTTACTTTACAATACTCCGTTTCTAAACTTATACACCACATATCTTGACGCCTGGGCGCCCAATCCGGGGTAGTCGGTAACAACAACCATGGTGAGTCGCCTCTTCCTCTCTGTCTGGCATCTTTCTGCATGCGATATTGGCTTGGAGTTAATCCCAAGAAACAATTCCGCTAACGCACAATCGCAATTAGGGACACTCACGACGTCCTGTTGGCGGGGAGAAGAAGAGTCGAGGCTTCGGTCGCTCGAAGGTTGCTGATGTGGGCGACGGACGACAAGCAGGAAAACCTCAGGTCAAGAAGGCTGTGTTCGAGACAACAAAGAAGAAGGAGATTGGTGTTTCGGATCTTACATTGCTGAGCAAGATCTCTAATGAAGCCATCAACGACAATCTGAAACTTCGCTTCGAACATGACGAAATCTACGTAAGTTGATATCGCGGGGTATGCGCCGGATAGGGACTAAGCGGTTTCTTTCTTCTAGACGTACATCGGACATGTCTTGGTGTCTGTGAATCCGTTTCGAGACTGTAGGTAGACCCATTGAGAGGCATGATCAGGGGGTGGACATGAGCTGACCGACCCCTTTTCTAGTGGGCATCTATACCGATCGTGTCCTCGACTCCTATCGGGGGAAGAACCGACTCGAAGTCCCTCCTCACGTCTTCGCAGTCGCAGAGTCCTCGTATTATAACATGAAATCCTACAAGGATAACCAATGTGTGATCATTTCCGGAGAGTCGGGTGCGGGGAAGACAGAGGCCGCAAAGCGGATCATGCAGTACATCGCCAGTGTATCCGGCGGAAGCGATTCGTCCATCCAACAGACGAAAGACATGGTTTTGGCCACAAACCCGCTACTCGAATCATTCGGTAATGCGAAGACGCTGCGCAATAATAACTCCTCTCGGTTCGGAAAGTACCTCGAGTTAGAATTCAACGCCAATGGAGAGCCTGTCGGTGCCAACATCACCAATTACTTGCTGGAGAAATCGCGAGTCGTCGGTCAGATCGCCAACGAGCGAAACTTCCACATCTTCTACCAGTTTACAAAGGCAGCGCCGCAGAAATACCGAGGTATGATTTCTGTCCCTCTAAGAACGATAATGGTCTAATGAACGGCAGATATGTTTGGTATACAGCAGCCCCAATCCTACCTTTATACAAGCCGCTCGAAATGTTTCGACGTGCCCGGAGTCGACGACAGTGCTGAGTTCAGAGATACTCTGAATGCAATGGGGGTGATTGGGATGAGCGAAGCCGAACAGGATAACGTCTTCCGAATGCTCGCTGCCATTCTATGGATTGGAAACGTTCAGTTCACTGAGGACGATTCTGGAAACGCTGCTATCTCAGATCAGTCGGTTGTTGATTTTGTCGCTTACTTGCTGGAAGTCGACTCTGCCCAGGTGAACAAAGCGCTCACTATTCGCATCATGGAAACCGCCCGCGGAGGCCGTAGGGGATCGGTTTACGAAGTTCCTCTGAACACTGTTCAAGCCCTTGCCGTACGCGATGCGCTATCCAAGGCAATCTATTTCAATCTTTTCGATTGGATCGTGGATCGTGTCAATCAGTCCCTAACTGCCAGGGAAGCCGTAACGAACTCGATTGGAATTCTTGATATCTACGGATTCGAGATTTTTGAGAAGAACTCCTTCGAACAGCTTTGCATTAACTACGTTAATGAGAAGCTACAGCAAATTTTCATTCAGTTAACCCTGAAGGCCGAGCAAGATGAATATGCTCGTGAGCAGATCCAGTGGACGCCCATCAAATACTTTGATAACAAGGTTGTATGCTCGTTGATCGAAGACAAGCGCCCACCTGGTGTTTTCGCCGCCCTCAATGACGCTTGCGCAACAGCGCATGCCGATTCTGGCGCTGCGGACAACACCTTTGTGGGCAGACTGAACTTCCTCGGGCAGAATCCAAACTTCGAGAACCGACAGGGTCAGTTCATTGTTAAGCACTACGCCGGTGACGTCAGTTACTCGGTAGAGGGTATGACAGACAAGAACAAAGACCAGCTACTGAAGGATCTGCTGAACCTGGTCGGATCGAGCGGTAACCAGTTTGTCCACACAATCTTCCCTAACCAGGTCAATCAGGATGATAAGAGGCGTCCACCTACTGCGAGCGATAAAATCAAGGCTTCCGCTAACGACCTGGTGGCTACCTTGATGAAAGCTCAGCCATCATATATCCGTACCATCAAGCCAAACGACAACAAAGCCCCGAAGGAATACAACGTTGGAAATGTTCTGCATCAGATTAAATACCTCGGTCTTCAGGAAAACGTCCGAATTCGACGTGCTGGTTTCGCTTATCGTCAAACCTTCGATAAGTTCGTGGAGCGTTTCTATCTTCTGTCCCCGAAGACGTCCTACGCCGGCGATTACACATGGACTGGTGACGCGGAATCAGGCGCTCGGCAGATCCTCAAGGACACTAGCATTCCAGCAGAGGAGTACCAGATGGGTATCACGAAGGTGTTCGTCAAGACCCCCGAAACGCTTTTTGCCCTGGAGGCTATGCGTGACCGGTATTGGCACAATATGGCCATTCGTATCCAGCGCGCATGGCGTAACTACCTTCGCTATCGTATTGAGTGTGCCACCCGCATCCAGCGATTCTGGCGTCGTACCACCGGCGGTCTTGAACTTCTTAAGGTGCGTGATCAAGGCCATCAGGTGCTCCAAGGTCGCAAGGAACGTCGTAGAATGAGTTTGCTCGGCTCTCGACGATTCCTTGGCGACTATCTTGGAATCGGTAACAAGGGTGGACCGGGAGAGATGATCCGCAACGGTGCAGGCATTAGCGGTAAGCGTATTCTATGCTACTTTGTAGTCGACAATGCTTGCTGACTTTATTCAAGGATCAGAGGATGTTCTCTTTTCTTGCCGTGGTGAAGTCCTGATCTCCAAGTTTGGTCGGTCCAGCAAACCTTCTCCACGGATTCTCGTTTTGGTGAGTGACTTGTGATGCCGAGAACAAATCGTATCCTAACAATTACAGACGAACCGACATGTATATATCGTGGCACAAACTCTGGTCAATAATCAATTGCAAATTTCAGCTGAAAGAACGGTACCGATTGGTGCCATCAAGGCTGTTAGCACCTCAAACCTGAAAGACGACTGGTTCTCCTTGATCATCGGTGGGCAGGAACCTGATCCTTTGATCAGCTGTGTCTTCAAAACGGAATTTTTCACTCATCTTCAGACCGCTTTGCGTGGGCAATTGAATCTGAAGATTTCTGAGAAGTAAGCTGTGTCCATGCGTAGTTGCTTTCCACCGCTAATCCAATATAGCATTGAATACAACAAGAAGCCCGGCAAGTTAGCTACCGTCAAAGCTGTTAAGGATCCAGCCGCGTCTCCAAATGTTGATACCTACAAGAGCCACACTATTCACACCAGCCCTGGCGAGCCCCCGAGCTCCGTCTCCAAGCCGACGCCGCGGGCGAAGCAAGTTGCGGCACGGCCAGTCACCAAAGGAAAACTGTTGCGCCCCGGGGGTCCTGGTGGCGGACCGTCGAAACTGGCGTCCAGACCTGCATCCAGACCTACACCCAAACCCCAGCCTCTGCCTCAATCACAGCCGGCTGCGGCACAGCCAACTCCTGCCCCTCAACCAGCTGCCGTTCCCAGACCAGTTCCCCAGCCCGTTGCAGCCGCAGCCGCTTCTCATACACGGAATGCTTCATCCGGCTCCGTGAGGGCTCCACCTCCGCCACCACCACCCGCGAGTGCCCCGGCGCCGAAGAAAGCAACTGCGAAGGTCTTATACGATTTCACTAGTGCTCAATCCAACGAGCTGGACATCCGGGCGGGAGAGGTTGTGCAAATTGTATCGAAGGAAGGGAACGGTAAGTCTTTGACTTCTTCACTTCTATATTTACGAAGCTAATGTGTACTAGGTTGGTGGTTGTGCATGAACATGACAACTTCCATCCAGGGCTGGACCCCTCAGGCATATCTCGAAGAGCAAGTCGCGCCTACACCCAAGCCTGCTCCCCCGCCGCCACCACCAGCCGCTCCGAGGGCAAGCCCGGTGCCGTCCGCCAACGGAGCCGCCGCTACGGCGGCCGCAGCCAAGGCTAAACCGGCACCTCCTGCACCACCTGCGAAGCGCCCGAACATGGCTGGACGAAAAGCGGTGCCGGCACCTCCACCAGCGCCTCGGGACAGCGCCGTGAGCATGAACTCGCACGATTCGTCTGGTGGTAGTGGTCGCGGGACGCCGAACAGTACCTCGAACGCCAGCTTAGCAGGAGGCCTCGCAGAGGCATTGAGAGCACGACAACACGCGATGCAAGGCAAGCACGATGACGATGACGAGTGGTGATTGACTTGACTTGCTTCACCTTCTAACTTTATCTATTTATATCTTCCATTCTCATTCCCAATATCCGCTTTTTCCTCCCCGAGTTCTAGTTTAGAGTTTTGCTTTGGATTTGCTGGTCTACTGATACCATGGGATTCATTGTTTGGCGCTGCATGAACCCTGGCTGTTTAGATTATAAAATAGAATTGTTGTTATGAAATTCACCCGTCAAGAGACATATATTTATTCATGCGTTCTGTAGTAGCATATCATCCTGTATGTCATTCTGTCATGTCCAAGAATATAACATAAAACCATATACCATATTCACACGAAGGAAAACAAATTAAATCCTAAACCAACCTACTTGCTCAGGAACTTGCTGGCCAAGTTCATCAGCGCCGGCCCGCCGCTACCAGATGATCCACTACCCTGGCTCTTCAAATACATTTTCATAGCCATCTCAGCGGCCTTGTTAACAGCCGACTGCTTATCATCGGTCTACAGCAACCCAAATTAGCATTTACCCAAAATCAAACTTACAAACCAAAATGAAAATAGAAGGGAGGGAAAAAGTTATAACATACCACATTGCCATTCGAGTTCTTCTGATCCCAAAGCTTAGCAGCCTGGCTCATCGCCATACCAATGAAGGCATTCTTGTCTCCGCCTGAAGAGCCACCGCTCTGACCAGAGGAGAACATCTTCAGTGCCTGCATGGCAGCGCCAGCGCCCAGGGAGTTCGAATCATGGGCCCTGCTGCTATCGTTGTCATTGTAGAGCTGCTGGTGGGACTGGACCATCTGCGACTCGTCGATGTCGGGGGAGGAAGAGCGGCCTTGCTTATCCTTGATGAAGTTCAGGGCGGTGCTGAAAAGGGAGGAGTCGTTGGAAGAGGAGTCGGAGTGGTTCTGTTGGGCGTGGGCGAGGGCTGGGTTTACGTCGTCGTCAGAGAAGCCCTGGGAGGAGGGGTTGGAGTTGTGGTAGCCGCCGTGGGAGGGGGCTGGAGTATTGTATGAGGTGTCGTTGTAGCCTCCCTGGTTGCCGTGAGAAGGACGGTCATTGTAGCCTCCCTGGTTTCCGCCGTAGGAGTCTCCGCCGTAGCCTTGGGAGGGGCGGTCGTTGTAACCGCCCTGGTTTCCGCCATAAGAGGGGCGGTCGCCGTAGGAGTCACCTCCGTAGTTTTGAGAGGGACGGTCGTTGTAGCCTCCCTGGTTTCCGCCGTGGGAGGGGCGGTCGCCGTAGGAGTCTCCTCCATAGCTCTGGTGGGAACCGCCCTGGTTGTTGTTGTTGCCGCCGCCAGAGTTGTTAGTGGCGTTGCTGACGGCCTGGGAGACGGCGTCTTGAAGAAAGTCGGAGAAACCCATTTTGATGTTCTTTGATTGTGAAGTGTTAATGAAAAGTAGAAGATAATGTAGGAGAGAGGGATCAGGGGGAGGTTTCGTTGTTTGTATGGTATTTATTTCCGTGATGAGGAGGGGCTGCGGCTGTGCTGTGGTTGAGCTGAAGATCGGCGGTGGGGTTGCCCAGCCACAGCCCCGATCATTGGGTACCGATCTGATCACACCGATCTTGGCCACCACACGGGTATTACGTAGACTTTTTCATTCGATGAGAAAAAAAGGAAACAATGTGCAGGATTCAATTCAGTGGTATCTCGTAACGCTGTCAGCCGGCCTCCCAGTATGTGGTAGATACAGTAAAACATAAAAGAAGAAGAAGAAGAAGGAGAAGGAGAAGGTAAAGAAGACAGAAAAATAAAATATGCGGAGATTCCATAATAAAGCGCTTTCATAGCAAATAGTGCATCCATCTTTCCCGAGAATGCCCCTGTCGGATCCCATTCCCCATCTAAGGTTCGACAACCAATGGCGGTGGCGGCACATCGTTCTTTTGAGGATGAAGCTTTCGAAGCGGCAGCTGCAGCGGTAGTAACCCCGATTGCTGCTACACCAGTAGCAACCCCTCATGTTCTTCGTCGCTTAAATTCCACCAGAAACGCATCTGTCGCTCTCGTTCGCTTAGAACGCATCGCTCATCCTCGTCCAAGTCGGACTCTCGCACCCATTCGTTAGGCAAGTCCCGTACTCCGTATCGCTGTCCCCATTGGCGTCGCTCGTACTCCATAAATCCACCGAAATGTTCGTCGGTATTGGCAACCCAGACCGTGCTACCGTCCGGAGAGTAGTCTGCACCACCGATTTCCCCAAAGAAGTCGTGCACCTGCCGCGTTTGGTACGTTTGCGCGTTGATGATCGAGACGCGATCAGCCGGTTCGCACAGCAGTAGCGTGCGTGGGCCGCCGCCGACCGGCGAATATCGGAGAGATCGATACCCCGCGACATCCGACTCGAGCTTCTCTAGAACGCGCCAGGTCCGTGCATCCCAGATGATCACTGTCTTATCTTGGTTGCTGGTTGCGATGTGTCGCATATCAGGAGACCACGCGCACGCAAACCCAAAATCGCGATGGCCTCGGAGGGGATGGACCGGTCGTCCAGTATCTGCCTCGACGACCCAAGCGTCAGGCGAGTCACCAATGACACACCGCAAACGTCCATCTGGCGACGTGGCTGTACAATTGATGGCGCGCGACAGCTCTTGATCTGCAATGAAGGTATTGGTCTCCACGTCCAGCACGCGGAGGTGTCGGTCGTTGGAGGCAAAGATGCCCATCGGCGACCGGCTCGTGCGACTGGGGACGACATCGATATGGTTGGTGATCCCGTTGGGGTCCTTCGTCACGAAGCCTTCCACGCCACCCTCCTGCGTGCCCGCTGCCCGCACCGCGTACTCACCCGCAAACCCACCGGCGATGGCAACGTCGTGAGCCGACTTCATTGTAGAGATCTTCACCGGCGCGTGGAATCCGGATTCGGCGGATGGCTTGGACAAGTCGATCAAGCAGCTCACATCGTCATACGCGGGCACCCAGGAATACACTTTCGACTCTTGGGCAAAATGCACCGTATTGTAGGCGGCAACCGACATCAAGTTCCGAAGTTGAAAGTGCTCGATCGTAGCTTTATGCTTGGTGTACATAGCCTTTTCCCGGAAGTAGAACTCCTCCTGAGACAGTCGCAACCCGGGCCGTTGATTCGAGTACTCTAAATTATGGTATGACGTATACCAGAGGTCTCGTAGCTCCCGGGCGTCTGCTCGCTTGACTCGTAAGGTCTCCCACCATGGGATCTGTTGAATGTCATAAAAGTCTCCTGTATACCCACTCGGCCGTGCGATCTTTGCTGGAGGATTCCAGCCAAGGATGTTGGAGATGGGACTTGGCGGCATTGCCGTCGATAGAACCGGAAGACTCGGTATCGAGGCCGCCGTCGACTGGACAAGCCATTGAGAGATAAATTGGTCGATAGTAAAGTTTCTTTCATGGGCTGTCACACACAAGACAATCAGCATGGCCTCACTGTGAGCAAGTTATATGATGCAAGGATGGAAGGAAGGTGGCCCATATGAGACCATGACAATACATACTGGTTCCGTGTATGACGGAGGCAGGAAAGCGGGGATCGCCAGTCAAATCTCCACCACTCCAATCTTCACCATCGGAGGGGTAATTGTGGTCGTCATGGGCTGTGACTTCTGTTGCCTGCGAGCCCAGGTCATGATCTGAACCTCGATAGAAATCATCGTAATCAACCTCCGATAAGTCCCCAGCTTGGTAGACTTCGGACTGGTCAGTGAAGTCGTCGTCGTAGTTGCCGCCATCCTCATCCGAGTAGAACTTCTCTGCGTCGTCGAGAAGATCGTCCTGCTCCGATATTGGGGTGGACGGATTTTGATTCACGGGGGTGTCGTAGTTTGTTATCAGAGCTGCGGCATCTTCGTCTTCGTCTTCACTATCTTCCGAAATCGTAGAGACGGCGCGCCTGGCTGTTGCGTGATCGATCAAATGGTGGACCAGTGTCTCCATGCCGAGGTGCCCGTTCTCATATGGAGCGAGGGGTACCCCGCCCAGGTCGGACAATACATCGGTCATCTCTGAATCTGACATGTACAGGTCGGCGGGTGGCGATGAATGACGATGGACGGCTCCCTCATCCCCTGCCCCTGCACGGTGGAAATAGGAATCGCGGTCGATCACGGCATTTACGACCTCGGAGACAGCCAAAAAGTTGGCTTCATTAGTAGCGACGCTCGGGTATTGCGGCAGCGCCATGATGGCAGAGATACCCGGGTCCGTCGAGTCGAAAGCACTTGAGGCCGCATCAGTATCGTTCAACACCGGTTGCTGATCCCTTGTCATCGGGACGCCTTCTGGGGTGGAATAAGAAGACCGACGATGCTGCGACGCGGCCAGAGTGTCACATGATGACGAGCCGGGCCTCGTATCGCGGTCAGCTGGGCATACTGACAAGCTCGACGTCAAAGAGATATCAGATCCACTCTGATTAGGCATTGCCGTTTCATGGAGCGCCTCGTTCGGAAGCCGACAATTCGACCGCAAGAGCTTCGCGCAAGCCGCGGAAAGGCAAACAGAATGGCAAGAGACAAAACCAGGACGCAATATAACTGGAGGAAGCCTGATTGGCACCGGAAGTCACACAGAAGCAGCGAAAACCGTCCACGTTTCTCTCGATCGGGATCAGAGATCTTGGCTCTGCAACCCGTCGGTCACCCCGCAGCTCGACTCCCACCAACCCCCCCACGCGGAGAACACGGTCAGGTTGGGCGTAGAAGGGATTCCCGTAAGTGTCGCAAGCTCAACTTGCGGCTCTGTGTAAGGCGGAGTGAAGTTGTACAGGGTTGTTGGTATGACAAGTGGGAGAGAATGGATTGTTTGGAAGAGAGTGTGTCAGAGAAAGAGAGGGGCGGTGTTTCCAATAAAAACGAAAGTAAGTGAACGGAGTGAGTAAGTAACACTCCAGTGAGTTGCAGTAGTTCGATGTTCACCTCCCAAAACGGGAACCCGACCAAAAACAAGGGGGAAAAAGGAAAGGAAAAGAAAAAAGTAATATAAGAAGATGAAGAAAGGAAAAAAAAAAGGTAAGGGGATAGAATAGTCAGTAACACAAAGCACAGGGGTCTTCCGATTTGCCTATTATTTCCCTGGAGGATTTCTTTTTCTTGACGGTTATTCAACCACCTTCTAGAAAGGCTGAACCTCAAATGTCACACCTGCCGATCGGAGTTAGTTTCCAGCCTCTTTGGCAAGATGATTATTATTATTATTTTTTTTGGCTAGAATTATTATTTGGTATTTTGATGAAATTTGCAACAAAGTCAAGTCCAGGACAATGATGTCGGTAGGGATTGATCAGTCATATGAACCGGGAATAACTACGGAAGTACATGATTCAGGAATGGAAAGTATGTATGTACAAGTGGAGTGAGGGGCTCATGAGTGGAGTGCGAGCGAGAGAGAGAGAGAGAGAGAGACATACTACTACGCAGTAGCAGACATACTAGTAGTACACCATAGTACTGGTACTGTACCCAAGAGGCAGAGACCGGAAACCTTACCAAATACCGAAAAGAAAAGAACGTGCATGAGCCGTCACATGGACGGGATGATCCGCAAAAGCAAAAATAGGGAACGTGTTCTCTGAAAACCTCCAAAAAGTCATTTCGAAAATAATAATAATAATAATAATAATAAATAAAAGGGTCCGAGCATCTCCCAACAAGTGGTCCAGTGGTGGCAAAACCAAATCTCATTGTCCGTCGAAGAACCCAATAAGACGAGAAATGATCATAGGAACCACACGAGAGTTCAATCAATTCATCGGCAGCTGTGGCAAGGGTCATTCTTCGGGAATCCTGCTAAGATCACTAGCAAGCGATGTGATTGATTGCTGCTTTAGTCTCATCTTTGCTTTTTCTGTCTTGCATTTTACCTGAGTAATCTGTTTGCATTCCTTTTTATACTTCTTTGCTGTTGCCCTCGGAGGTTCATTTCGAAATTATAATGGACGAGGTCATCCTTCCCATCTCTCATCAGTCGTGTCCATTCATTATATACTCCATCGCTGGTCTCGCTTAAAAATTACATCAAAGCTCAATACTGTCACAATCCGTTCAGAATCCAACCATCCTGGCAGACGGCGTATCTCCAGGAACACCGGTGTACAGTCCGTACCCTTCACAGGCAGCTATGCAAAAAAAAAAGAAAAATGTTTCTAGACGCCTTCCAAGTGAGTAAAGGAATAGAAAGGCACAAAATATTAGAAACGGACAAGATAAAAAACGTAATACAAAAGTCAATCGACTCGTTCGTGACCAAACATTGAAAAACATATAGCACATATTCCCTATATACTAGTAATCGGAGTATTCTTCGTAACGCGCAGGATATCCTCCCATCGGAGGCTGTCCCCAGGCGGCCTGCATGCGAAGCCGGCGATCTGCCAGATATGTCAGCTACTATAGGACTCTGAAACATCCCGGAGATACACATACCTTTCTCGAAATCTCGCCAGCGCTTCATCGTGATCTTACTACTGTCGAATTCTCCTTCCCCAGCCTCGTGTCCCTTGTCCTTCTCCCCGGCGGTCTTCCGTGTGTCACCCCAGCTGAAGTCGTCAAATTTCCAGTATGAGTAGGTCGGAAGAACAAAGTTCCAGATAGGCAGAGATATGAGATAGATCAACATCCACAAGACGTAGACCAATCGGTGGGCAGTGACAACAATGAGCACACCGGGAAGGCCCAGAATGAGGGCCAACAGAACGAGCGGAATGACCTGCACCGGCTTCTTGACAATAGACGAGATGACCACGTAGAAGGTAAATGCGATAGCCGCGGGAAGGACCAGTGTTCCAATCAGTTCGATGAAGATGACGAATTGCATACTGAAGCAGAACGTTCCGCATAGGTCTCGCACCAGTACCAGCTCCATAAGGTTGTGAACCGTACTATTGATCCAGCGACGACGCTGAGAGAGGAGGACCATGAACTTGTCGGGCACTTGAGTTTTGCAAACAGCCTGGGGCACAAAGATCTGTTTCCGCTTGGGGAAAGTCCGAAGCATCAGGGTTGACAAGTACCGATCCTCTCCGAGTAGAAGCAGATTCTTTTTGTGCAGAGTGTCCACTACATTCTCTGAATAATGTTCCACCACATCGGGATTGGCAAGGATCGGTACCCAGTAGTTCTGGCCTCCTTTCGGTGCTTTGATCCGATACATGGAGAAACACCCGGGAAGACAGGTCACACCACCAAAGACAGACTCGAAAGACTTGGACTGATGATGGGAAATGAAGTACCTGATATGAGAGTCAGAAAAAGCATTAGGTACAAAAGGGAGGGAGTACATACTCGAACACTTGAATCATAGTCACCCAACTGTCCGTCTTATTAGCGATCTTAGTCTCACCACAGAGACCCATGACCTCAGGATCCTTAACCATGGCAGAGATCATGTGAGTTAAACTATCCGGGAAGACCTTCGTGTCGGCATCGACCATGAGCACGACTTCATAAAAGTCCGGGGGTATGCCGGTCACATGTAAGAGGCCGTTGAACATTTCGAATTCAAGTTCTGTCATCCGTTCATCAAACATTACTTTCTGCAAGAAGGACATCAGAATGATTTGACTGTCCCGTTTGCCGCGGTTACCCGGCTTGGATTGTTTCGCTTCGGACGGCGTTCCACATTTCACAACGATCATCATCGGAACGCGCTGCTGTTTCTCCGGTGGAATGATGGATGTCTCTCCATAGTCATAGAAGCCAGCATATACTTTTGCCATATTATGTCGCTTGGAGCCGGTTGCCACTGCTACGTAAGAGAACGGCTGGACCTCATCCATAGGAACAACCGGATCTCGCATCATACGAAGCACAATTTCGGGAGTAGAAAACTCCTCGCCCTTTCCTTTGATCATACCGTCACAAATAACAATAATGGTCTTGTGACTGTTAGGATAATCGGTCATCGCGATGGAATCAAGGGTGGTACGGATCCCGTCTTCACCTTCCGAATAGCAAGTAACCAAACAAAGCGCATGGGCTAAGGGATAGCCGTAGGGCTGCCACTCCGGCGGTGGTTGAGGAACAACAGCTTCATGGATGTACCCACCCGCTCCAAGGCCGTCGGAGTCAGCGATGGCAGTGGAATAGCGGGAGTCTTGCACTAAGCTCGTTCGGCTGGCCGTAGGATTCTGGCGGGACGCATCCGCACTCAAGGTGCCACCGCTGCTATTGTGGCTCAGCTTATACATGGAGCCACCACCGGGAACTAACCGGCTGGTGGAGTTCTGACTCGCCATGGTTACCCATTGAGGGCGCTGTTTCCCGCCGTTACTCACCGTGTAAGGGCTCGAGAACCTGGAAGTTGTTGGCAGGAAACTAGCCCTTTTACTGGGGCGATCCGTAGGATCTGTCAGTCGAGGGCCGGGTCGATAAATGTCATTCGACCAGTCTTCAATTTGCTGATTACGTTGCCTGGGATCCGAGCTCATACTCGTCTTCTGGGCGGCGAGCCTTGGGGCGAGGAACCACTGGAAGATCAAGGCAAATGCAAATTTGACGATGACAATGGATAAGATGAAGACCAGTGACACATAAAGAACCACTTTAGAGGCAATGCACCCGACTGTGTCAGTATCTATACTGCCGACCTTGATGATTTGGGAGAGGCATTTTCCCATCTTCTTCTCTTCCCCAGTCTGAAGGTAATATGTAAGGTCGACGCCGCGCACATCTGGGTTTGTGCGGAGCTGATCAAATTTGGCGGGGTATTTGACCTGATCAGTATTGAACCACCGTAGGAGATCAAGATCCAGCACGTTTCCAGAGTAGACTGCCAGGTTTCTGCTTTTGTTTTTCGTATCGTCCCATGTGTAATATACGTCCCCGGAGCTCCCTAGACCGTAAAACGATTTCCGGGCCTTTCCTGATGTGTGGCAGGCCCATCCATTGTAGTAAGGCTCCGTGTAGTTGGGCTCGGATGAGCCATCCTGGTTAAACGCGGTACATGGGAAATACCAGGCTAGGTCACCGTTTGAGTTGGTAGGCACATCAGATCCGTCCGCAAGTGTAATTAGACCCTTACAGGCTCCGTTGACTTGCTGGAAAAAGAAGCTACCATCTTGGCCACCGTACTTATCGGGCAGATCATAGAGAACGTTGGAGCTGCCTGGAATTCCAGCGGCCGCGGGGTGCTTCGATTTAGATAAGTCGTAGGCTTTTCCATGAAAGATCATATAGCCTTTGGTGACATGGTTGACCTTCAGCCGTACTGGAGGAGTTCCGCATACAGTGGCCGTAAATCCAAAAGTCAAAAAGCCGACGAACGCTCCGATGAGCAGGATAATACTGATAAGCCCGATCTTCTCGCGCCACGCACTCCGCTGCGCCTTTTGTGGCATTCCAAAGCACCGAAGAACAAAATCTGGTGCCCAGAATGTGATGATCGCGCAATACGTACTCCACAGGCTTGGGGGACGGACTTGTTCTAACGCCTTTTGTCGTCTCCTTTCCTGTGCAGATGCCTTCTTCGAGATCTTCCGAGAGTGCCTCCTTTTCTTGGTCCGACGCTGGCTCGGAGCCCGCTCCATGGGCTTGTTGATATTCCCATGCTCACCATACACGCCTTCTTTGGCCCTATCCATACTGCGGGAACTATTCGTATCAATCTCACCTTCTCCGCCCATTAATGGCTCATGTCCTGTTGCCGATGGGTATGTGGGCATGTTTTGTGACCGTTGGCGGTAGTGGTAGTTGGGATGGTCTGGATCGATACGACTGCGCTCCGGCTTGACGAAGCTCTTTTTGCGCCTAACCTCCTCGCCCGTATCTGCTCTCTCTTCGTCTACATCTTTCTTTCTCCGAGAACTGTGCGAACGATGCCGTCGGTGATGATGATGGCGATGTGACGTTGGGCTCGATAGCGTATCAGTGAGACCTCCTGTGTCACTGTCTCGTCGTCGTCTGCGCGATGATTCCCGGAAAGCTGAGTGGACTTCTTCTCGTCGCGGTGAGGCCTTTCCCGGCCGTTGCGGCAAAGACATGACGCTTCTAAGGAGCAAGAGTGTGAGTATAGCGAGATTCGGGCAATTGTAGACTTTGGAGAGGTGGTAGAATGCGCAATAGGGTACACTCACTGTTAAACTGAAGCAAGCATAGACGGCGATGGTTTGTTACCAAAGCGATGTTGGCTTGCTAGATCTTCGCATAGACAAATAGATTGATGCGACGGTGTTGTAATGCAAAGTCCAGCTTCCTAGGCTAGCCGAAAGGATCGACAAATATCTGGAATGGAGCAGCGACACGAAATGAGTGCGATAAAATTGTCTGAAAAACGATCGCGGATTCCAATGTGGTATGGTTGAGCACAAGTAGATTCGAATAGTCAGCGAACCGTGCGAATACGAGACTGCCAGTAAACAGAGCGAGTGAACAACTTCGACAAGGAGTCGGAAAATACAAATCTAGCGGCTACACCCCCGACGATCCAAATAAGCGAGAGGTGTGAATAAAGAGTGGTGATGGAAGTGGGAAGTAAAGGGAAGGGAAATGAAATCTGCGGGACAATGACCTGAGACGGTGCGGAGCAAAGGCTGATCACCTGGTGGTACAGTACATTAATGAGAAACAATACTACCTCAGGCCAGACACTGCCTAACCACAATGCTATTAGTCCTGAAGGGTACCTGTCGTACCCGGTAATTGTAGGAGGCGCTATCTGTTGTGTTATTGTTTTGGTTTTTAATTTAATTTTTATCCGTCCATAGGATAGGCATTGGCGCATACGGAGTAGGTACATACTGCTAGTTAGTAGCTACTAGAGTGCTCGGCCGAAGCCAAGAAACAGAGGCCGACCACTACAGAATTATTATTTGGTGAAGATTGACTGGTAGCCCGAGAGTGATAAAAGGGGTAATCAGACTAGATCAAACAGGGATTTGCTGAGGATAATTCGGAAGAATTATCAAAAAGACGAGTTGGACAGTGACCACGGGGAACCTTTCATTAGTGTACACAAATAACTGCCATCCATGCGCTGCAGCGTCGCTAGGGGCAATCGGTCGGGGCTAGATCCAACTTGGGTCCAATAGAACTAACTCGCAGGATCGCATGGATTATTAGAAGGGTTACCTTACCTACCACGGACTTCTATCGCCTGACCATCCCTCATTGGGTGCTGACTCCCCAGACTCCGTAACCCTAAACTAAATTCGGTTTAACCCCCGGCAACTTGGAAGACACGGCCAATGATGTTTGCTCTAGGTTTTTTTAGGATGGTTTGCCCCTCTCCTCTCAAAATCAAGGTTAAAATGGAAAAGCCCCAACGGGCCATTAAATTCTTGCGGTACTCAATAATCAGACTAGGTAGACAGCACGATGTCGGGTACTAGGTGGAAACTCTGGTATCTCACATGACCTATGTACTAGTATAGGGTGGTCAAAGAATCTGCTAGCGCTCTGTATGGAGTAAGTGGTTGACATCGGCTGGTACTACCGCTCTCCAAGAATATGTATCCAATCGAGTGAGACTCCGTGTTCTATTTTCAGGCTCAAACTTCCCACACCAATTGGGTGGCGGGACACCATTCTAATTATTTCTGATGGGGCTTGATATTGACTTGGGACCAAGGAAATAACTGCGTGGATTTGACGCGAATTGAAACAGAAACCCCAGAATCATGCACAATGACTAAATAGTGATATATCAGAATATGCAGTACACTAATACAGATCGTAGTATGTATTACGGAGTATGTGACCAAGAGCTTACCTACCATTTATTCTTTTGGATCCCAACAACCAATCCTCATCCGCACTTACACTAGTAGATGAATACGAAGAACACAATTCCCAATACGGAGCATCTTTGAAGTACCCTCAGTATTACCTATCAAGTCATAACAAAGCATCCTTTATTCGTAAAGGGACTTCGATCGATTGACTCAGTTTCGACATCAATAACCCACCTAATAACAGCTAGTTTCAACCTCAGTGTGACTAAGGGTCCTCTTACTTCTGAACCGGTGGGTAACGCAAACATATGATTGACTCGGTAAACCTAAAGTTGGCAAGCTGGCAAGCTGATCTGTAAGGCTTCCAGCGATTTACATAAACCAAAGCTTCGTGGTAGAAATAGTGTTTTACTGATAGATATTATCATACCCAGTGGGCCTATGTAGATCCAAAGCGTTCAGCTGTTTTCCCTGCCGAAGGAGTACACTCAGGCATTAACGACTCTAGAAATTATGCCGGATATACATGATCTGATGGCTGATCGTCCTCTAGTGTGCCAGTGCCGAACTTCCTGTGGAGAACTGTGCATTGAATCGTAATCAATCAGCTCATGACGCCATCATGCAGTTTGTATTTTCCTTAGACACGCATCCCAGACATGCTTAATCCCTAAGCTATAGAGCTGGGATCATTGTACCCCAAGAACCCAGATTTCCTAATTTATCACTAGTAGGTAGTCAGCCACGTTTATGCCAATGAACCGGGTAAAACTTGGGTGAACAGCGTTCGCCTAAACATACATAGCTGACCCTGGACTCTGGAGTCAAAGGTGGAGAAAGTAACCGAGTAGCTTTGACGGACTAAAATCGTTCCCAGACCAATGGGATCTATCTCGCTTCTCGATGGCCTGTGCTATCTGCTAATGCCAGTACACTATCTAAGATTGATCGATGACCCTTCTTTTTGGTATTGCAATAATCTTTGATCCTTGTTGCATGTATCTAGTGATAAGAGCATCGTAGAAATCCGGATACGGTGTCTAGAAAAGGGTACAGTGGACTTCACTGGTGACTTGTGGAAGGCTTAAGTTCATAAAGAACAAGCAAGAGGCTTAATTGGGCCCTTTGGTATGACCGAATTCAATTAAAAACGAACAATTATTATTGGAAAGCCACATTTTCAATCAGCAGAACTGTTCCGAGTAAGAGTCACCAACTACATGAGATTGGGAGGCTCAATGACGACGGCTACCGTATCTCCGCAGTCAGCAACAGCAACTGTTACATGCTGCTCATTACTATTCTTAGTGCGGGTTAATTTGATCCAAAACAATGTACAGCTCATCAGGCATTATTCCTCGTAAAATGTGAGATTGACTCTGCACCGCCCCAAGTTCTATGCATTGCTCTGCATCGGAATGAAGGGCAGCGATTGGAATGGGCGTTGCATAGCACCACATGGGCGACAAGAGGCGGCAGCTATTGGTAGGTAAGTATCAGTCCGCCTTCGGGGCTCAATATACAAAGTAGTAGCACTAGATCGATGGCCCATGCAACACTCAATCAAGTTCTGATGACACCTTGGTGCCCTTGTCATGTCAGTTATCTTCCACCAACGGTGCGATCCACCTGTGAGACATGAAGACACCATCGATGGTCTCATATGAACAATAGTTTGGCACTATCCATGTACAGTACTGTACGTATGTACAATACCCAGTGGCACTATTATATATACATACACACATTCCATACCCACGATACCGAAAATGTATGTATTACATAGGGAAGTCAGCTCCTTTTTTGATTTCTGTTGATTCCGCCTTGTTTTTCTTAGAATGTATATATACAGTCATTCCATATCTAACCATGGTTAAGCATCACAATACAGAGCCATACCTATTAGATGCTGGGTGGTAAAGCGGAACTGGATATTATTTATTACCCCTCAACTATTTTTACCAGTATTAAAATCGGTCGGTAATTCCGCCGCAAGTCCGAGAGATCTGTTTTTCATCGGGTAACATGATTTGTCGCTACTACTTTAGTCGCTGAGACATTACAAGAACAAGTTGAAAGGTAGTACTAGTAGTAATGCAACCGATTCTGAATAGATTAAAATAGGTAACAACTCAGCATGAAATCAACAGAATACCCCACTCCATAACAGCGTAAAAGTATTTCTCAGCACTGTTGTTTTTAACAATAAAAAAAATTATGAAGAAAAACAGATAAAGATAAAAAATAAAAAAAAGAGAACAACGGCGGATATAGTGGGGGTGTTCGTAAAACCCTCTTCTTTTCTTTTCTTTTTTTTTTCTTCTCCCGCTTTGTATTTTTATTTTCTCCCTTCTCTCCCCCTCTGTCATTTTCTCTTCCGCCACCGTCTTTAGAATAGAACTATAATACGAAGCTAGTGCGGCTTAAGAAAGTACTACTACTTAAGTATCTACTCGGTACGAATACAAGAAATACTACGGAGTATTGTCCGTACCATTCAAGCTAACACATACTAAGTTTCTTTTAGGATCATCCCGAAAGGCATCTCCGCCATTGACAAAAGCAATCGAACTTTCTCTTTCCCTCTGACATCTATTCATTTTTTTTTCTTTTTACTTCAACACCTTCGCTTGGTCTGCATTATTCTTCTTCCTTCTCTCTCGTTTCAGTCTTCTTTGTTAATCCCCTGGAGTTTCTGGTGTGGGTTGTCTTTCATCAACCTTCATAGCTGCCAAAAAGTAATTTGTTTGATTTAACGTTTATCAAGTGGACCCCAACCTCCTCTACAGTCGACCCATCAGCCGTCCTCCAGTTCTCCACGGTACATATCTCTCATCCACCCTTCGGCCGGCACCCTGAATTTCTTTCGCTTCTGGGCTGGTTTTGAATTGCTTGACTGCTATAATAGCTCTTCTTCTCGATGACGGCCTTTATGCACCGTATTTAGATTTCTGCTTCCCCGGTGTCTGACGATTGGGCCGGTCACATTAGGAGTACGGGACGCCTGCATTGTATATATCTGCAAAGCTCTAGAGGGCCTAGTGAGAGTCAGTGATACAGCTGCTCATGAAAATGGCTAGTCCTGTGACAGGTGAATACCCTCAGCCGGTTTCCCCTCCTCCGGTTTACCTTCGGTCTTCTCCGCCTCCTCCCCCTCCTCATCATGAGTTTACCTCTCCAACTATCTCCAAACGGCCATTGAGCATGAGCATTTCGCGGAAACCACCCCCGGCTGCTCCTGGAAATCGGGAACCCTTCGCTCCTTCTGTGAGGGTTGACGGGGATAGAGAGCAGCAAGTGCCGAATGCCGCAGCTGAGAACGATTACGATATACCACCTATACCCACCTCTGCGTTCGCTCACATGTCAATTGAAGATAGACCGCATACGCATACAAGAAGTTCTAGTGCTCAATTCCCGCCACGACGAGATTCGTATGCTGCCACACATGTTGGTGGAGCACCCATTCGTCATACGCCTGCCAGCAGTGGCTCTTGGTCGGTCGTAGATGCCCAGATCAAAGACGAACCGACCAATGTGGCAAAGACAAGCGATTCGTCATTGGATCAAGGTGCGCCAAGTGGTAGTCGGAATGCCTCATCGCGCGGTAGTTTGGATAGTGTGGTTCATGAACCAGAGACCTATGAACCTTTACACTACCATCACCGCCCATATGCTCCCGCAGCTGCGGCAGGATCAGCGGAGAATTTCGTCAGCACAACTGGCCATCTCACTGTGGGCAAACCTCGCAGACCGCACTCCACGTACTCTTTCGGATCGGACCTCGAGGGACGGAACGGGTCTCCTCATGCGTCTCCGTATCTTCACGCGCGCTCGTCGTCCAGTGCATCACCCGATGTTCGACCACTATCCTTCGTCGATCTCCTCAATACGCCGTACCCTCAACCAGGCCCTGCGCCAGTGCAACTTGGTAACGCACACCTCCGCTTATCTGTCGGGAACAATGCATCCTTGCTCAGCCATAAGCAAACTTTTGAGATGTATCTCGCCAATGTCAAGAAGACGGATAACCCAGCGATTCAATATGAATTTGCTGTTTTTATGGTCAATGCCATGTTGGACATGCCGGATGACGCACTAGAAGCGGGTGCGGCGGCCGTCTATGGTCGAAAGGAGCCGGAAATCACTCGATCAAGTCTACTCAAAGAAGCCAAGTCAATCCTGCAACGCTTGTCCGATCGCAGCTATCCATTTGCACAATATTACTTGGCTGACGGTTATGCATCGGGGCTGTTCAGTAAAGGTAAGGAGGACTACGATCGGGCGTTTCCCCTGTTTATAGCGGCTAGCAAGCACGGTCATATTGAAGCCTGTTACCGTACGGCGCTCTGCTACGAATTTGGGTGGGGAACCAGGGTTGAAGCGGCGAAAGCCCAACAATTTTATCGTCAAGCCGCATCAAAAAACCATCCGGGTGCCATGATGCGTATGGCAAAGGCTTGCCTGGCGGGTGATATGGGCCTCGGCAAGCGGTATCGAGAAGGCATCAAGTGGATGAAACGTGCCACAGAATCTGCCGACTCACAGTACAATTCTGCCCCTTATGAACTGGGTTTGCTGCACGAAGAGGGATACGGTGACGATGTTTTCCCGGATCCTTCCTATGCAGCACAGCTCTTTACGAAGTCGGCAGATTTGGGACACGTCGAGGCAAACTATCGCCTTGGGGATGCTTATGAGCATGGCAAACTGAGTTGCCCTCGTGATCCCGCCCTGAGCATTCACTTCTATACCGGAGCTGCGCAGGCAGGTCATCCATTGGCAATGATGGCTCTCTGTGCATGGTATTTGGTTGGTGCTGAGCCTGTGCTGGAGAAAGATGAGGGTGAGGCGTACGAATGGGCAAAGCGGGCAGCAGAAACCGGTACGTGGCGTTGGACTGAAGCTCAAAGCCGTTACTAATTGCCACATGTGCCAGGGCTGGCGAAAGCACAGTATGCGGTGGGATATTTTACCGAAATGGGTATTGGCTGTCGTCGTGACATTCTGGCAGCCAACGTCTGGTACGTACAAGCGGCTGACCAGGGCGATGCTCGAGCGACGCAGCGGATTGCCGCCATCCGAGCTGCTTCAGATGGAGTGGATCCAGCACAAGCTGCTATGAACAGCCGTGGACAAAAGGGCAAAAAGGGTATGTTCCCGATTTCATCTTGACGACTTAAACCGGGGCTTGTTGCTAATTGGACGGGAAACAGAAGGCGGAAAGACAAAACGATTTGGCATTTTTTGAGACACGTTACGAAACAGCTTTACATTGAGTTCTGCATTGCATATCATTTAACTCGCCTCTTACCGCGCGACACTTACTGGAATAATACATAATGGCAGCGACACTCTTGTGACAATGTTTTATTTGATTTTCACCGAATTTTGCATATTCTCCATGAGCTTTTGGCATTGGTTTCTCTTCGTATATAGTTCCGTCCGACTGTTCTGGGAACGGCTTATGTTTTTGTACGCGATAGCGTTCCATTCTATGTTACATGTTCATCTATGAGAAGTTCGCTTCACTACATTATGAGACATCAGAACATATGGGAGTCCTGGATTTACTCTAAAGTCGTCCTGTTGCAATATTTCGTACTGCTCGATCTGCGCATCGTGTGGTTTATTTGACGGCGTATTGGATCTATTCAAAACACTAATGAATCGGTTCAGTTTCTTTCTACGGACTTACCTTACATACTTCCCTTTGAGCTCTACAGGTCGGGTTGATATGAGTGCGGTTGAAGCTTGACTGTGTCGAAAATCGGTGACGTCATCCAGCGCAGTGTTTCGGATTCGTCACGCAAAAGTCTAGCCGGCCGAAGAGCGTCAATGATTGATCAAAAGCAAACAGAAATGTTGCTAAGATTATCTTCCGACGGTCCACACTGGACTGAGACGTCACGTCACGATCCTGAAGCAGTGGATCCCTAGCAGCTCAGCAATAACCAGCAACTGAACATTTGGATGTATCAGCCAACCACATGCTAACGGTTCCTCCTAAAACCCCTGAGATAATAACGGTGGTCACGGTGTACCTGCATTGACCGCGACTTGGAACTCCTGTCCATCTTTCCCTATTTTTCGATTTTCTCATAGACGATCCCTACCCCATGGAGGCCGACTCATCCCTTACACACACCGACAGACGCAGTAACAATCAGCCGATGCCAAGAAATACCCTCGCGAACTATTAGGCCTCAGGGTGCAGATCGACTCCGCAGATAGAGATGAGCGAGCTGTCACTTGCTGAAACCAGTTGGGCCTTGCCCCACGGGCCAATGGCTTGCAGCAACCTTGGAGTGAGTTGTTGTTGTTGTTGTTGATCGCGCGTTTCACGCCCCTCGGGGCTGCAGGCTTCTAAATATATTCGGTTGGAGAGGCTGGCGGCTGTTTCCACAGCTGCGCTCCATGGAGGATTAATTTTTCTCCTTGTATAAAGAGAAGGCGGATCCTATCCGGGGTTTTTGTTTTGACTTTCCTTCCTCCCTCTCATTTGGACCTGTAGATTGAGTCAGTCTTTGCACGATTTTCCGGCCTCGTGCTCGTTTGGTATGTTTGCTTCATTCCAACCAACCTCCTCCAACCCTAATTTGACCCAAGGGATGATGACCCAACGGGTAATGATGATAATAAGCTAACCAGCTGTCGCAATTAATAGATACCAACCATCTGTCTACCGATCTATCCACTTCATCCCAATCGATTCAATATGCGTTTCCTCGCTGTTTTCGCTCTCATGGCCAGTGTCGTTGTGGCCAGACCTGCTGAAGCTAACATTCAGGCATCATGCCAGGGTGTATGTCTCCTAGTCCTATCGCCATTGAATGTATTCTTTACATTCACTGGATTTACCCAACCCCTGTCACGGCGCTTGCATGCTAATATGGTCGGAAATTGAAGGTTGGCGACTACTGCAATAACAATGGCACCGCCGGGCCCTTCTCGTGCTGCACACCTCTCAAGTGTGGAAATAACTTCGTAAGTTGCCAATGCTATCACGTCAGGAGCAAGAATGGAATGTGGAGGAGAACTAATACCTGAATTGACAGTCGTGCCAACACCCTTATTAAACATTGTGAATAACGCATACAAGGACAACCTTGCTTGCACAGATACGTCGGACCTATAGAATGGATGTGAATCGAGATGGATGGCTGAATTGAATTGAACAGGGGCCATTACCTTTGTATTTACTACTTAATACTTGTCAATATATACCTTCTTTAACCTATCAGATTTGCTGTGAATGCAGAGTGCGATAGAATTCAGGGAATATTACCTCATTCTACATGGGCCGAATGTGAATCCATATGCAGCCGTCACATATAATAACAATCCATCGCCCTGGCGATGCTGGAAATCCTTTTTCTTTGTTCAATGATCGCAGAACCTAGTCACGTCAAACTCTTCTTCAAAGAAAACTCCTTGAGACAACGAGAGCAACCGCCTTGACCCAACCTCAGGGTCATCTACATCTACTATCATCATACATATTCCTCTCTCTTTTATCTACTATCTCCTCTCTTCTTTAGTTGAACATCCACGCAGAAGCATCCCATCTGCAGAAGGAGCGTAGCACACGCACATGTGCTTGTGTATGTCATGCTCATGCAACAGAATACCGCTCCCAGGGCCAGCTCTGCCCCAGCCAAACATCATCATCATCATCCACACAGACACTCTGCATCCTCTCAACTAGAAGACCTATCGCACTTTGGCTTAGGGACCACAGGCATGACCTCACTTGATGAGAATCGACTGAAACACATGTGGCATTTAGCCTCCAGCACGGTCTCAGAGTCAACTGAGACCTGTCTCAAAGCCGCAGGTATATGCTCTATCTAGCCCCTCTAGAGTAAGAGAACGACTCTGGAACCCGATTCCAAAGCTCCAGGGTTAGCGCGACCACTAGAACCCCTCTATACTTTCCCCTTTCGAGGGGAGGGTGGGGGGGACTTTAAGCGCCCAAACATGGCAAAGTTCGAAAGGATAATTGGGGCCAGGGGCACCACCTGCGGAAAGCTACTTTTCACGATTCGATTAAAACGAGACCAAAACGTACTCATAGCTCCTATATTGGGTAGAAATATTAGCCACGTCATAAGCGACTAGAGGTGACCCCGGAAACACGATTTGTGCCGCTCTGTTATCTCCGATTTACTTATCTTTGCTGCAAGGGGGGTAGATCGGTTCAACCCCTGCCATCGACATAGTCAATATCCGTGATCCTTTCAGGCAGGCCCTATAATACCTCCTAGATATCCCTTGACGGAGTTCCTCGACTTTTTGTGTCTAGAAACAACCGGGAACGAGGCAAAAGGAAACTACCAACCGGCTACAACACTACTACTCCGTACTGATACACATTTTATATATCGCCATGACTACAGTGGGCTATATAATTTGTACATGTGTCGCACCTTGGTCTATGCGCATCTTTGGTGAAACGAATCACTATTCAGTTGTACACTGAACGATGCAAGAGATGCCACCACAATCCTTCGTGGTGGTGATAGGCACTTACTCGTGCTTCGGCTATCATACAGCCGCATACATTTAACACATCGCCTGCTACATAGGAAAACTATGTTGGGAGCCCAGGGCTTCCTATCAACCATACATACCCATCAGTAACCATGGTTCTGCGGCTAGATCCAACACTCAATGCAAGCTCTATCATTCCGGAGTTAATCAGGAGGTACTGGAGATGCTTATACAACCTTCGACAGATATTCCCTACTTAACACAAATGCAATTAGCATTAGGTGCAAGTCAAGGCGCCGCATACGATGTCGGACATCTGGAGTGCTAATCATAGTACCTGGAGCATACGCGTATAATGCATTTTGGTTCGAAAGGGAGTCAATGCGTCGTGGTCGAGAGCCTTTCTGTCCAAAGAAGAACTCCGGCTTTAACTTTGTGTTATATAGTTCGGATGTTCCATATAAGAAATGACACCCGTTAGCAGGGCCTTGGATTCTACATGCTCAGGCCCCAGATGAGGAATGGAAAGCCGACTAGAACAAACACCCGCCACTGCCGCGGTGACTATATCAACCCACGAAGTTGATTCTTTTGATCTCAAGCACACCAAGTGATCATGGCCAGTCATAGCTTATCCGGTGTTCAATCACCTACAGAAGGATCACCATAGCTGACTTAAGGCAAGTCCTCCCAAAGGATAATATTAGGAGGAACGGGAAGCGCAGGATCAGGATCAGGATTGGATCCCCCAGGAAGGTGAACTGTTTTCTGACCCACCAGCTCCAACAAAAGACCATCCTTAGCGGACCGGGGGTGGTTAGCTACAGAACTACATCGTAATCAGGGATACTACGAATTTCGCAACCACTACCGTCTATCGTTCTATGATGGGGTGACTATCGATATGGCCAATATTACAGATGCGGCCCCCGGATTAACTTCCAACCATATATGACCTGATATCTAATGTCTCCTTATCAGATATTCTCTATGGGTACGAGATGCGGCCTTAAACATGGGCCGTTCCTAAGCAGACGCGCGGGACGCTCTCCTGGTCTCATGTGTCCCTGCGCTGTTCGTTAGACGCTGGCTCTGAAGGATCGGATGGAGGCATTTTGCAAGTAGGATAGCCGTTGCCGGTATTGAAGGTACCTTTCTTGATATAGAGCTAGCTAGCTCGCTCTCTATCCGCATCTATACCGCCATGGGAAATATAGTGATGCTTAGTGATAGTTCCCTCCCGAGACTAACTATCACCTCATCAAGTGTCGACCCGTTCAATGAGTCACTTAATCAATATTCTATTAACTTGTTGGAGCCTAGCAGTATCAATCCATTGCTCTGTGCCCACTTATCTAAAATGCTTCTCTCCATGCATCGACTCTTCAATAACCAAACACTTAAGCGACCAGCGGGGGAGATTGGGAAAAATCGTCAGTGTGGCCGCGAATCACACGCTCAGTCTCAGCATATGTTATCTGAGATAGCTTAGGAATTGTTCCACTGTTCACTTCTCAATTCCACGCGGTGGGTCTTGCTAGACCTCTCGCATGACTCCGACATCGACGAGAGTGGTTGGTTCGATAGGGGAACGAACCTTTTTGACAGACGAGTCGCGGCTTGGGAATGGGGATCCCAGTAAATTGCTCCTATATGGAGCTTTATTACTGTACCCTGGTTGATAAACCTATGCTTGTGATGGGGCTGTTCCCGGTGGGAAACCCCATCAATCAACATGTGTTCGCGGGTATGGGAAATTTTTACTCGGAGTATTAACGGGAGGAGTAGTAATTGCTTCGAGATGTGTAGTTATTCTGCACCCGAACAGGACTGCTAGTTATCCACCGCCCACTTATAGTTAACTACAGCCAGGTAATACCCCAAAATCACTGCTTATACTAATCTAGTAACTTAATAAATATCACCAAAATACTAGATATGGCCTCGGTAGATGCTCTGTATATACCCCATATCAAATTTTGTCCTGGCCTAAATGTCGGGCGGTGTAATAGAAGGGTTCAAATATTTTTGTAACGTCACTGTAGGCTTATGACGGTTCGAGGCACTTTGCGACACGCTCTTACCTTCCTCTACTCACGCACCTTCCTAACGGATTCCCTTATCATGGACGCCCAGTCATTTCCTTCTGCAGTTCTTGACTCCCTTTTCCCCCCTCACGAAACCACTTCTACCACGTCCGACCAGTCCACCGAACAACATAGCATGCCTACTCCAGAACCGACTTTCGAACTCATTAAACGCCAGCTAGACGCCGATATCCAAGCTGGCCGGACGGGGTACCGGGAGTTCTGCGACATCAGTGAGGACATCTTCCATCAGATCCAGGGACAGCAATCTTCAACAACAAGACGCCTACACTGCGTTTACAACTTCGAGAAGCACTTGCTCCGTGTTCGAATGCCCAATGAGGCCCACGAAGATGTCGCCCTTCAGCTCCACAGCCTCATTGACCTCAAGCTCAATGCTGAGGGCCTGATGTACACCGCGTGCACCCCCACCCTGTCGCCCACCGTCAGACTTGGCAATATTGCTCTGCAGCCAGATGGAGCTTGGCGCCCACGGGGAAGGAAGGACTGGACAGTCTGTGTCCAGGTGGGGGATTCAGAAAGTGAACGCGAGCTTTTGCTCGACGCTCGACGCTGGGTTGAGGATGATGGCTCGCTGTTTAAGATTTGCCTCATAGCGAAGATCAAGAGACTTCCTGAAGAGATCGAAATTAGTATTATACAGTCTTCCCCTTTCCGTGCTCGAATTCTCCAGAGCAACCACACTTCTGCTATGCTTATAGCAAGTGCCAAGATTATCCGCCATCATCCTGGTCCTGTGGTCGAGTTCCAGGATCACAGAAACCCTACCAACACGCTGATGGCCCTTCGATTTCCTATCGTCGCATTCGCCGGGCCCCAACCTCCGACTGGAGTTCAAGTCAACTTAGGGGGTGATATTGTGCTTACAGGACAGGAACTAGCGGAAATTGGACGGAGACACTGGGTTCCGGAATTTAACTACTGACAGTGACAACGCACTTCTTTAGTTCTGTTCTTCCTCTCTGTTTCACTGCTCTAGCTCTATACTTTAGTTTTATTAGTAGATATACCTATAATAGCAGTGCTTATTTCTGTAGCTTCTTGCCCTTTATCAGACTTAGGAATATTTCTGTTTAGCCAGATGGACGCTAGGGCTCTCTGGAAAGTGAAGACTAGACACTGCACGTGCAGGTTAGGGACTCGGAAAGTTAAGGCTAGCTTTTACTCGACGCTCGACGCTGGATCGAGTATAGCGACTTGTATTTCAAGATATAAGTTATCGTAACAAGATCCCGCCTACCTGCAATTCTTCCTCTTCTTGTCTGACTCGAATACTCCGGACTAAATACACTTCTGCTATGCTCATGACAAGTGCAAAGATCATCCGATCCTGTTGTCCAGTTCCAAGATCACAAATTCTCCCCCCACATTTTGACAGAGATTCGACTTTATATTAGTCTCTCGATTTAGCTGGAGAAATCGCGCTGAGTGGCACACACCCGAGTTGAAGGGAGGGAGAGAAGGAGAGAAGTCGAAAAGGCGAGGTCGGGTCTTTTATATCAGGGAGAGGGTTACATGACAGTGTATTGGGGCGCTAAGCCGAGCACGGCAAAACTAACCACATCTAGTAATTCACAGGTCCCTACATTACTCGAGCAAAATCCTACAAAAGAACGACGGGCTACACAGAAGAAAATTACAGATCGTATCATAGATTAGCACATGTACAAACAAAGAAAACAGAATGCTCCAGGAGATCGACACATGAAATAGAAGGTTATATCTACTCAATTCAAGTATATGGGGAAGAAAAAAAAGTTAATAAAAGCTGTCGGTATTTCCGAGACAGGCAGAACGAAAAAAAACTCCAAGCCTTAAATATCCTTAACTATAGACATCCAGGGGATCATTTAGTTGAACTGGGTGATGCAACCCCAGTAGCGCTCGACGTCGAACTCGCCGGCATCCTTCCAGAGGTCGTTGGAGTAGGAGAAGAAAACGGACTGGGAGCCGACCTCCTCAACGAGAGCCTTGATAGCGGCGGCCTGCTGGGCGGTACCGGGGACGGCCTTGCCGTTGGCGTTACCCTGGCTGGGCCAGCCGGTCTCAAGGTTGATCACGTCCTTGTTGCAGACGGCCTCAAGGTCCTTGATCTGGGCACGGACGAAGGTACCGGCCTGTTCGGCGGTAACATCGGCGTTGAAGAAGGGGTGGAGGTTAGCACCAAGGATGTCAACGGCACCGCACAGAGCGCTGCCAGACTGCTGCCAGACGTTGATGGGCTCGGTGGTGGTGACCTGACCCGAGTAGCCAGAGGCCTGGAAGGAGGACTTGCAAGAGGAGATGAAGCCAGCGAGGCTGGAAGCATCGGTGTAACCGTTCTGGATGGCCTCGTTACCGACGACGACAAGGGTGACCAGATCCCACTGAGCCCACTTGGTGATGGCAGTGACCTGCTCCTGGGCACCGCTGATACCGGTGCTGGAGATGAAGACGCCAATGATCAACTTGAGGCCGTTCTGACGGGCAGCCTCACCGATGTACTCGAGACCGTTGCAGTCAGTGGAGTAGACACGGACGTGGGTGAAGCCCTTCTGCTTGATCACGGCAATATCCTTGATGACCTGGTCCTTGGACTGGCAGCCACCCTCGTTGGTGTAAGGAGAGTAGGTCATACCCATCTGCTGGCCGCTGACGCCGGTGGGGACAGGGGTGGCAGAGCTGCTGGCGCTAGCGCTGCTGGAAGCGACGGCGGAAGTGGTGGAGGGGGCAGCAGTGGTGGTCACAGGAACAGCCGAGGTGGGGGGAGCAACGGGGGTGGAGGTGGGCTCGGTCATTGCCAGTGAAGGGGCAGACGTAGGTGTAGTCGGTGCGGGTCACAGTCACGGTCTGCTCAGGCTGGGTGTAGGTGCCAGGGGTGATGGTGGCAGGAGTGGGGTAGACCACGACGGTGCTGGTGGGCACGTAAGTGGTGGTGGGAGCAATGGTGTAGGTACCAGCGCTGGGGCAGACATAGGTGGTGGTGTAGATCTTGCTGGTGACAGTGGAACCGCTGGGCTCAACGGTAGCAACGGGGCAGGTGACGGTGGTCGCGGTCGAGACAACAGTGGTCACACCACCGAAGGTGTGAGAACCGCTGGGCAGCTCAGTGGTAGTAGCACCGCAGACGGTGGTGGTGTCTCGCACGGTGACGGTGGTGGCGGGGATGGTGTAGATACCGGTGGAGGAGAAGCTGGTCACTCCAGGGGTGGGGAGAGGGGACTCGGAAGTCGCAGGGACGGCGGGAGTAGAAGCTTCAGGGGTTCCAGCCGGCGAGGAGGCCTCAGGGGTGCCAGGGACGCCGCCAGTGGGGGTTTCAACACCGGTGGCATCAACACCAGGAGTGGTGACCACGGTGACGGTGGCGGTGCTGGTGGAGTGGAGGGTGGTGACGGCCTCGGAGGTCACGACGCTGCTCTCGCCGCTGGGGACACTGGGGACGCTGGGAACGCTGGGGACCTCAGAGCTGCTGCTGCTGGGCTCAGGAGCCGGGGTGTTGATGGGGATCACTGCGGATGACGATTAGTCCCAATCCCACTGGATTCATACGACATCAACCTGGGTGACTTACGGGTGGGAGGGCCAGTGATGGTGATGACCTTGGTGGTGCATTCGCAGTTCTCATCGCCCTCGGCGGGAACCTCAGGCTGATAAGCGCGGTTGTGGTGGAAAGACTCATGGCCATGACGACGCATGTGGGCGACATCAGCCATCGCGGTACCGGCGACGGCAGCCGCGGCGGCCAAGAAAGCACCCCTCATGTTGGATAGAATGTAAATTCAAGGATGGAATTGGGTATAACGAATGAGTGCCCGCTGAAAGAGTGAAGCGGTGGTCAAACAAGTTGGTCCGAAAGATAAGGAGGGGAGGGGGCACACGGCCTCTTCTACTTGATATAGATGGAGAGAAATTCTTCGAACGAACCCGAACAAGAGAAGGAGAGAAAGAAGGGAAAGAACGAAAACAAAAGCGACGGGAAAGGAAGGGAAGAAAAAGGTCACTGTACCAGGGGGGGCGACACAGCACGGGCTCACCATGACTGGAGAGAACGCCACGAGTCTAGCCAACCGTAGGCAAAAGGGGCTCATCCACTTGGCACCAGAAATTTCCCAAGACGGACAGAAATCAATTCATGCTGGCGGTGTGAATTTCCACTAGTCAGGCACCAAATGTCCGCTATTGGTGGCCCGGTTCCTGATGGTCAGGGTGACCCGGTTTGTGTTGTCCAGTGGTTGTCCGCACGGCTCGGGTAGAAGTGGAGGTCATTCCCTCGGATTGGTGAGCCAGACTTAGGCTAGTACTAATTCCTGAATGAATTGTGTTTTTTTACTAGGCGTTGTTTTCTCTTTGGGAAACAGAGGACTGGTCAGGTCTGCTGCTCTTCGTGGCAGGCGGCCATTGCGTCCCTCCTGCCAACTTACTCAGCTTGGAACTGCCTTGTCTCACTCCAGCCTTTCTTTCTACGGCTCCCATCAGTCCCTGTCGACCGTTGAGACACACTACTGTTAGTCAGTATCCTTATGGGGCCAGCCCATTCAGCCAGCCGCAGCGGGATTTGGGGGTGGCTGCCCCAAGTCATCTCAGTCCTCCTTTGATACTGAGGAAAAAGTGACCCAGACAGATACTAAACATAGGAGGTGTCACGGCAATGGGAAATTAGGGAAAGACATCCATCAATGACCCGAGTTCCAGTCGAGGCTGTCACCCACCTAAAGTCAATCTACGATCCAATCGCATTTCTTCCGTAATTTGTCCAGGGAAGAATCCAATGCCAGGCAAACACACACCCCAGAATCGAATCCAGCAGAGAGACTGAATGACCGCCAACTGCAAGGAACGAATCGAACCAAACGTCCCCGCCAAGGTGGGGCCTCTCGAACTTTGGGTCCATCTGAAACAGGAAGGACTTAAGCCAATCCCTCCTTGATTCGGCCTTCTCATTGGACTGCATCATGAGCTTTAATTTCCGGGCCCCATAATGTTTAGGCATTACCCAACTGGTACGTACAGAATTACTTATTTCATGGATCAGGGGGGGTTGGCCCTCAGCCTCAGTTATTTTTATACGTGGTTCATGAATGTCCAGAATTGTTTCTCACGTTGCCGAAGTGGCAATTTGACGATGAAACCGAGGGTAAGCTGACATCATCAGGGTACAGCCATGCATAGTAAAATAGATGAAACCGAGAAGAGGAGTACACCCGTTAATCAATGCCGGGGGCCGTTGTGTGCTCACACTGGAGCGAAAAAGTAAAAATCAAAAAAAAAAAACACATCAAAAAGGCTAGACTGATCACATAAGCAGCACCAGCAGTCGATCTCAAATTCCAGATCACTTGCCAAATGGAGTCTTTTTTCTTGTTTCTGCCGATCCCTTCTTCTTTCTTTTCATCCTCTTCTTTTCAAGATAAAATCCGGAGTAACACCGGGGGGGGCAGCTGGCACCACTTCATTTCATTCTGAAGAAACCTTCCCTTTTCTCGCGTTTGATAGTGCGGTTGATCGCTACGGAAAATGCCGACAAATCCGAGACCAGACTGAGTCAAGTCTTGGTTTTATGACCAGTCAGAAGCCAGCAGAGGGACTTGGCTTATGGAGAATGTCCAGCCTAGTCTCAAGAACGGTCCTGTCATGGATCTCCTCGTGCAGTTGCCCCTGATCTGGATATCACGGCCTGTTTCTCTTTATTTTTTTCATGCGGTCGACGAAGGATAAATAAAATCGATGTTCGCCGTCCCGCGCAGGATGGACGGTCCACGTATATTCTCTCTCAACACGAAGAGAAAACGCAACTAGAAATAGAGCAATCCTTCCCTCTCCGCTCCTATGTTGATCGGATGGCAGTGCTGGCCGGTGAACACATAATCAAATCCATCCCCCTTTTCCCTCTCTCCTGGTACGGTCCAGACATACTTCAATAGCATGCATAGTTTAAATTCCTGACCCAATTATTCGCCATTGTATCCTACAATCGGGAAAGTTGCCCTATTACCTGATCAATGGCATGATATCAAGTAACCCCTGAATCTAATACTAGTAGTATTCTATTCTTCCAGTCTTGATAACATCTGACGGTTCATGAGATACAGTCAGCATCGAAATCCTACCCCGCACATGGAATGTCGTCCAGTCCATGCGGCGATGATTGGCACATGGCACATACCGCTGACGTAGTTGAGGCAGTGAGCGATGTTGATCCACGTTATCAGATCAGATCGGTCGCCAACATTCCATCCCACAGCCTTGCATAGATAGACCTTTCAAACCAGCCTTACGTGACATGGGGACATATATCCAAGCTGATTATAACAGCACGTTCATACTCTCTATATACAACTCTATTAACCCTATGATTCATACATCCATGCATCTATCCAAAACACATCTACTCACTACGATGTCCAACAACAACAACAACAACAACAACACCACCACCACCACCACCGCATCTACAAAGCTGAGAAAGGCTATTGTTTTTTTTATATAAAAAAATAGAACATGACCATCCTCCAAAACCCCCATCTCCCTCCACCTAAAGAGCTCCCCAAACTTGCCCACCGAATACATAATCCATAACCAGCAAAAGGTACCCCGAAATCCTTGAGGGATCCTCCTCCTCCTTACGTTTTTCTTCCTTTTTTCTTGATTTATCTGATTCTGTAGATGGACTAGGAGATGAAGAGCTGGAATTACAGTGCTCGATGCAGGGCTTGTGGGCTAAGGTGTGCTTTTGCAGGGTCGAGGGTAGTTTCTGTGAAGTAGGAGGACTTGACGGTGAGTCGGTTGGTGTATATTATGGGGGTCATGGATGCTGGATTTAGTGAGCAAAAGACTACTTGAGGTGGCTTCTATTGTTGTGTGCTGAGAGGGCCGGTGAGTTAATGTAGAGTATCTCTTTCCCTCTCTCGCTCGCTTGCTGAGATTAACAGCAGTATAGATAAATCTCGTAGTCATTGGCGATTAAAGTCCAAGGTTAGAGTGCATATTTGCCCCGGTTGGATTAGTAAATCACTGGATGTATCTCTGAACAAAGGCAAGACATCCTTATCGAGTACCTCTGCATAAACCAATGCGGGACAAGCACCCTTAGGACCATCTAGGTATTGAAACGACGCTGGTCTGAAGTAAACAAGACCTAAAAATTACCTCCAAAGCCATCATAGCACAAAACAATGGTTATCAAATTAATATCTCATAAATGCATCACGCTAGTCAAAAAGCAACACAACCGATGAAAGAAACCCAGCACGTCAAATCCAAGATAAAACTCCAATCCAATCTGAAAACTCCAAGTCCTCATTGATTAGGAGACCGATAGCCAAGACCGGTGATTCTAAAACAAGCCAACCATTAGCGACACAAGCCACACGAGCTGGAGAGTGGAGAGATAGAGGGTTTGGAAGATTTCAAGAGAGATGAGAGTTTCCGGCGTAGTATACTGTACCGACTACCATTCCGGAATAGGATATACTAACCTACTCCACAGAAGCCCTATAAGGCCTGGCTGTTCGTTGGCGGCTGAGCGCTTCGCCCATCCATTGTCGACGTTGTAGTGCTTGACGTCTTGGAGGCCGGCAAAGAGGCCTCGTCCGGCTGTTGCTTGCTATAGATCGAGTCAGTATTTATTAGAGGCTTCAATAAAAGCCTATAAATGAAGATAGACGGGATCAGAATAGACATACGCGAGCCTGAGCCTGGTTCTTGACCCAAAGGTCTGCACCAAAGTCGTTTTGGAGACGAGCGGCTGCTGATGCTTTAGACATGTTGTCTTGTGGATTTTGTCCGATGGATTCGGTGGATGGTAGTAGAGGATAGGGTAGGGCAAATCAAATAACCCAGGAGATTTTCCGCGTAAGGGACAAGATAGTAGTCGCTGTAAGATCTCAAGGCTCACTTTGTTATGTTGTGATGATGATGAGGAGGAATAGATACCAAGCCCATCCATGCTCCAACCCCTTATATACCCAACATACCTGTCCACCATCCATCGACCACCCAAGCCTCTCACCATTCATGATGCCACATCTCAACACCATGGACGCAACGCTGTTCCGGATCCGAATGGCATCACCTTACCAACCGCGGCTGAGAACCAAGCCCCCGGGTTCCTGGCGGTATACTTTCTATGGACACCTGAGAAGTAGATTGGGCATATGATATCGGGAGGATTCGTTATACTGGTAGGTGCGCGTCCAATAGGGCTTGTGATTATTGGTCGCGGCCGGTGGAAAAGGATTGCAGTGTGTGGTATGACATTTGGGTGGTGGTGTGGTTGGTTTCATTAGGGTGCGGCGGGTGGCATGATCCGTGGCTACTTTCGGTAGGGTTCATGTTGGATTGGGTGGTTCGAGGAATATTTATTACTATTTAACTTTTTCTGATTAGTTTATCTTCTTTTGCAGGTGTAATGATATAGTGTAAATATTTTCTAATTTATTTGGTTTGGCCTGGAATAAGTTGAGGTTGGGGAGATGTGCGTTATAGCACTACTCCCTATAAATTGGTAGGGATGTTGCTCGTATCCTTTCTATGGAAATGACATCATAGCCCTGAAAATATACAGCAGTTCGGAGATTTCCCATTGGCATAATTTGCTTTTTAGTAGAATTGAACGTTTAAACTGGTTCTTTCCATAATTAGAATATATAATGAATAATAACACTTTGTCCGTTAACCATATTCTCAATTCATGATTAAATATGCCACTAGATCATTAAACTACACTAGGTAGGACTACTATTAAAGATTAGCAAATTAAAAGCTAAGATGTTGATTCTTGTTGATAGACATCCTTCTATGCACATGTGTATCATCCGTATTCCCCAACCGCCTATATAAAAGTAGAATGAATATAAACGATATACCTCAGTATCCGTAAAACAACTAAACGAAGAAGAAAGAAAGCTAAATCACTTCAACAACCTGCCCCCATTGCTCGCAAGCAACTCCCCCGTCACAAACCGATCCTTCATAAGATAAAGGTACGCCTCAGCCACATCCTCCGGCTTCCCAATCTCTCCGGTAAGTGTCTGACTCCGGAACATCTCAACCATTTTTTCCAGATTATCCGTCTCCAGAGTCCCAAATATCTCTGTCAACACCGCCCCCGGCGCAACCGTGTTCACCCGAATAGGCGCCAGATCAACCGCCAACCCGCGCGCCATACCTTCGATAGCAGTGCCGGTAGCGGCCGCCAGCGTCCATCCTGGTGCCGGGCGAGCGGCCAGCACGCCGCTGGTGAAGGTCAACGACGAGGATGACGTCTGACGCACGTAGGTCGGGGCATGCTTGGCGAGGATGAGTGAGCCGATGAAGCGGACGGTGCCCGAAGACTCGATGAAGGGAACGTCGAAGGTTGGGTCGGTGGGTTTGCGGAGGTTTAGAGCATCACCGGCGGTCATCACCACGTGGTCAAGGAGAACTTTGCCGTCGGGGGCATCCGTGGTCTGGGTTCCTGTGCGTTCGGGAAGGTATCTGGGGCTGTGGCGAAGTTGTAGAGGTTTATGACGTTGGCTTCGAGGGTCTCGCGGTCAGCAAGGTTGCAGACGGTGCCGGCGATGCGATTTGTGTGCTCCTCGTCTGGGTAGAAGGATTTCAGACGGGTGATGGCGGAGTTGACTTTGTCAGATTTGGAGCTGGCAACGATGATGGAGGCACCGTGCTCGAGGGCAACCCGGGCCACAGCGAAACCAATACCGGATGTGCCTCCTACGATGAGAACACGGGTGTTGGCGAGTTTGTTGGTGGAGATGTGGGTGCTCATGGTGGTTTGTATAGACTTCTTGTCGGTAGAGATGGGTTTGAGGTTGCTCTTGTAGGGGGATGTGGATATTATTGGTTTGTCAGTTTAGTCGACACGGACATTTCCACCTTTATAGCCTTCTGTATTGATGCAACCATGGACATATTTGTCATTTCGGTCTCGCATGTTTGGATATTGTACATTGGTATTTCCGTGGGGAGACCTTATCTCCGTCTGCATGCAAACGGTCTCCCGCTGCTTTCTAAGCAACTCCAACCTGGCAGCTCTGTTAAAAGTTATCTCCGGCCATAAACCCTAAATCCGGGGATAGTGCGCTGGTATATGAACGAAAGATTATTAAGCTATTGCGTATCATATTCATTATAACTATACTGTGCCTAAAAACAGCGATATTGAACATACACATGAGACTCCGGACCCCATGAACCCTTCGCCAACCCAAGTATATCAAAAATAGATCTTAATACATAGTGTATCCATCTATGCTTTTATCCATCGAATGTTTTATTGTTCAAATAGAATGAGATGCAACGTGCTTAGTCCCAGCCGTTGATCTTCATGGTTCCCTTCTCAGCCAGGTTCTGGTGCATCTTGAAGGCCTGGAAGAGCAGGTGAGGCTCGTGGCCCATGCCCTTCTTCAGGCACTCGAACTCGGCCCGGTCGAGGTAGTCCGTGAGGATTGGCTTGTAGTCGGGGTGAGAGCACTTGTCGATGATGACACGAGCACGCTCGCGAGGAGACAGACCACGCACGTCGGCAAGACCCTGCGGACGTTAGCATCGCACGATATGAGGCACAATACGAATGAAGAAAGCTTACCTGTTCAGTAACGACGACGTCAAGATCGTGCTCGGTCTGGTCAATGTGTGTGCAGAAAGGCACAATACAGCTGACACCAGTGGGATCAATCTTGCTAGGGCGGGTACTAGGAGTGTGCATGATACTGTACTTCGAGCTGCGGAGGAAATCGGCGGAGCCACCAAGACCGTTCAGCATGCGGGAGCCCATGACACAGGTGCTGTTGGCGTGAGCATAAATATCCACCTCAACGGGGGTGTTCATGCCAATGCAGCCCAAGCGACGGATGATCTCGGGGGAGTTGGAGACCTGTTGAGAGCGGAGGAGGAGCTTGCCGGCATAGCGCTCCCAGTTGTCGTAGAAACGCTTGAATCCGTCGGGAGAGAAACGGATCGAAGTCGCTGTTGCGAAGTCCAGGTTGCCGCTATCGAACAAGTCCAGGAAAGAATCCTGCAGCACCTCTGTCCAGACCTTCAGGTTGGTAAAATCAGCACCGCCCTTGCTCAAGCCACCGATGACAGCGTTGGCAATGTTTCCAATGCCAGACTGGATCGGCAACAGGTTCTTGGGCAGTCGGCCATGATTGACCTCGTGCTTCAGGAATTCAATCAGGTTGGAGGCAATGGCCTGCGAACTCGCATCCTCCGGGGCGTTGGGCTGAGTCTGGTCGGGGTAATCCGACTCAACGATGGCAACAACCTTCTCGGGGTCAACAGGAATGTGAGGAGTTCCGATGCGGTCCTCAGGCTGAAGGATGAGGTAAGGCTTGCGATTCGGAGGAAGCTCAGACATGGTGATATCGTGGAGACCCTCGAATGAAGGGCTGGCGGTGTTCACCTCGATGATAACCTTATCGGCCATCTGAACCAATTCCGGGGAAGCACCGACGGAAGCACCGGGGATGATACCACCATCCTCGGTGATGGCGGATGCCTCAATGACGGCGACATCCAGCCTGTTCTTAGGCTTGTTCAATGTGTACCAGCCCTAGAACTAGTGTTAAGACGCATCATCTATAATTAAATACTTTCTAGGGCAACCTACATAAACCAGATCTGAAGGGAACATGCTCAGATGCTTATCGAAGAACTTAATCTGTCCGGAGTTGATGCCCTTGGCAATCTCCTTGCCGACCTGGTGAGGGCTCCGACGCTCGATCATATTGAGTCTAGCCCAGCGATTCTCCGTCTCTGCGCCAGATGAAGCACCGACAAACAAGGTGTACTGCAGCTTTCCTTCGAGTCCATTCTTCTCGACATGGTCGGCCAGCGCCGTTGGAACTTTCCTGGTGGTAGAAGATAGACCGTTAGCCTAATAGGTTTCACCATGGAAAAGAATGGTGACCTACTTGGGGTATCCAACACCCGTAAATCCGGACCAGCCGATGTACGAGCCATGAGGGAAAAACTCGATGAGGTCCTCTGCCTTAGCTAGCTTCCTGAGGTAGGAAGGCCGCCTGACACGGCTTCTTAGAAGGGCGGAAGCAGACATTGTGTGTGTGCTAGAGAAGAAGGTAGGAAAAGAAACAAAAGAGGAGTGGAGAGGAGAGGAAGGGAGGTAATGGAGAAAAAAGAAGAATTAAAGAAAAGGAAGCACGCGGATGGGAAGCTTCGAGGATAGAAATATGGTACAGGAACTCATCCCCCCCCCCCGCCACAAAAACCCCAAAGTGGAGAGCGATGAACCCCGGGACAAGGGATGACAGGTATTGAATTCTTCCCAAGTTAAATCCGTTAATTACTACTAGTAAAAATTACTTTACGTGGAAGGATTAGATTTGAGCCGGTACCATTGGGCATTTCTTGCGCCCTTAGTCCAGACTTAGATTTTTATTGCGAGTACCTATCATGGGTATTCGCTATCTACTCCTAGAAGAGCTGTACAGCGGCGGCACCGTCGAGACAAAAATAACCTGAGATGGTTTCAGGAAAACGTAAACCTGGAATATTCATATATGTACATGATTTGAATAGATGAAACTACACTGGTCTGACACAATTGTTTCTTTTTCATTTTTTTTCTCCTTTTCGACCACGGGGTGGAAATAGTTTCAGTGGAAGCTTCACTGTTGACGTCATCTCGGCATATTCTCGGCTCTCTTATCCTTCCATGTGTCCGACGTCATCTTGATATCAAGCACACAGAAAACCCTTCGTCGGTGCTGGTTGATCTTTGATAGAATTCCTGCAGAAGAAGTATATTTCATCGCAAAAAGTAGTCCCATTGTGCGTAAATAATGTGGTATCTGCTCTATGTTCATCCCAATGATCATACCTCTAAGCAACACCCCCGTGCTGATCCCGAGTCTCGTCCGGTCTGGCCCCATCGGCCCAGTCTCGGCCTGTATCGGTTATCAGTCTTCGGCCACACGGAGCTTTCGTCCGTAGGCATCATTGGTCACGGTCAGCCGATGCCGAGACAATATCCATCAAAACTCCTACTTATAGACTACTAATGGTAACCAAGATCCGAAGAAGGCGAACCAATAGTTGGTCCGTAAACCCGTAGTGCTTTGTTGCTCCGGGTACCTGAAACGCGAGATTGACTTCCACGCTGAAGGGGCAAGGCGAGCATGGTGTACTCCGTAAGAGGATTTCAATAAGACATAATCATTGATCAACCAGATCTCCCTAAGTAAAGTACAGAGAAAGTACAAAGTGAATAGCAACCCATATGTGATCCATCCCTAATCCCTTACACCAATCCAGAAGAGATCTCGTCCGTGGGTCTATGAAAGCCGGGGAACCGTCGCAACGAACCGGTGCCCTGTCTGCCCCAGACTGCGTTTCCCCGGCAAGCGAAGGACCACTCTAGCCGAGATCCCAGAAGCGACAAACCCATTCGTGTAAGCCATTGAACATATTCGCTGGTCATGCAGGTATCAGATCCACTACCCTCGAACAAATAAAAAAGTATAGAAAACGGAATTGATAAAACACGGCTCGTGGAAGAAAACGTGAGAACGGGAAAGAGAAATCCTGTCCATGACTCTTCCCATACCGATGCGAGGGATATCTGGATATGGTTTCATGTGCAAAGATTCATTCATGTCAGGAGATACTCCATCCTACATAGGTCATCTGTCTTTATTTCGAACGTCCCTCTCCAACCAGGAGGACGCACGGGGTTCTCCATTACTCCTCCTTGTTAGAATCAGAAGCATTCTGTTCAGCGTCAGCCATCTCCGTATCTTCTTTGTCGTCCTTCTTATCCGAGCTGGGCGCCTCCGGAGCAGGGGCGCTATTCTCGGGATCGGTGCCCTTGACCCAAGAACGGAAACGCTGATTCATCTCGTCCACCTGATCCTTGCTAAGACCGTGCGCCCACATGGGGTTATTGACGAATCGCTCAGTGAACCTATCGCGACGCCTTTCCTTAATCGCCGCCGCTTCCTTGGCAATTTCCTCAGCCGACTCATCCGGGGAAGCGGCCGGACGCCACCACCAATCGTAGCTACCGGGCTCATACAAAATATGGTAACTGTTGGCGCAGATTCGGATGATGAGGCCATCCTGGTGCACAAGGGGGCGGTAATAGCGATTGTACTCTTCTTCCTGCTCGAGCTTAGGAGGTAGGTTCCGCTTGAGGAATGGCATGCGCAACTGAGAGAAAGGCACGCCTTCTGTTGGGTCACGCATGGTGTAAGCAGAGACGTAGTATGACCACCGCGCTTCCTGACTCAATTCCTCATTTTCCAAGGTAGCGTCCTCGGGGGTTAACAGTTGCACGGTAGTCTTCTTGGTATTCGGTTGCTATAAAGGGCAATCTGTTAGAGACAGCTTCGATAGATGACTCGAACTAGTCAGCGAACTTACGTAACTAATGCGGTAGATGTCGCCGTCCTTAACCAGCCTTTCAACTTGCTTGCGATATTGAATCTCCTGGTTGTGAGTGGTTTCCTCCCTGTCCCGCTCCTTGAAGAAAACGTTGATGATATCGGAGCTGCGGTCTTTCGAGTCGCCGTTGAAGATGGCACCAGCAAACTTTGAGATACCAGCGAACATCTTCTCCAGGTTATACAACTGATAGCCACTTCGTAGGTAATAGCGGCGGAGAGTCTCCTCCAAGTTGGAGGACTCCATGTCTCCTTTGATGACTTCTTCGCACATGCGGACAATCTGATTGTACAAGTTCGCTTTCGGATCGCAGTCATAGAAGAAATCAGTAGGAACCTTGTCGATAAGACCAAGTTCCTGAGCAGGTTTGGCCATAAGGGCGCGGCGCACATCCTCATGAGCATCCTTTTCGTGTAATTTGATACGAAGCAGGCGCGTATAGAGAATCTCAAACGTGCGGAAGAAGCAATAGATATTCAAATTGGCGTACAAGTGATGTTGTTTCTTCTCATATGACTCGTTGAGGGTGTATTCCCGTGCCAGATTGAAATTTCCCTGGCCGGGGTGCTCCATCCACTTCAGCTCGGCCACGTCGAAAGTCTCGGTAGGGTCGGGAACAGGTGTCGATGGGACTAGAACTGCATCTGGAGTGCCATCACGGCTGGCAGGGTTGCTTCTACTTCCTTCTTTCTCTGTCCGATTAGCCTTCTCGCTGCGACGCTCCAGAACGTCGCGCAAAAGGTCCATCTTCTTTCCATTAAGGCCCTTGCGACTACGAGGAGTCGAAGACTCTTCCGCAACCAGACTCTCATCATCAGCCTCATCAGTAGGAGAGGTTCCCGTGGACAGCCCGTTCATGTACACATGGAAGGTATCACGGTCCATGCCAAAGAATACCGGGATAAAGTCCTTGATGAATGTCATAACCTTCTGGGGGTCGGCACCAAACCCAGCAGAGTTGCGGTCGATGAAAGTCAGAAGCAAGTGAGTGGCATCAATTAAGACTGCCGGATCATCAAAGGTGAGCTCAAACTGGTGTCTGGGGACCTGGAACCCGCTCTTGCGCAGATTTCTGCTCTCCTCAAACTTGTTTTGGATTTCATTCTGGATGTGTTTCGCCACAAACAGTTTCTTGTCCGTTCCTTTGCTAGCAATAGCTTGATGGTCAAGGCTCCGCCAATAGGCCTTCTGCATCTGCTCGCGCCAAATCTTGTCCCATTCACGCTGGCTAGCTTTCCACTCCTCGCATTTTTGCTTCAGACGAAACAACACGATGGGTAGGACATGACAAGGTCTCTCAAACATCTCGCGGATAATCTTGTCACCAAGCTGTCTGTCGTATATTTTCTTGATGACGCGTTGGTAGATCGCCTCACTCTGGCCACCGAGGCCAGGAGGAAGCTTGAAGGCGGCCCTCTCCGCTTCGGACATAACGAGGAACTGCTGGACAATGGGTTCAATCAGCTGGATAGTGCGAGTGCAAGCCTCAATGTGATGGTCATAGTCATGTCTGTCTTCTTCGATACGGTGTAGTGCATCTTCGTACTGATTCTTCCGGTGAGCCACGAAACCAGAATCTTCAGATGCCCAAGTGGGATGTGAAGCCCATTCGTCGTTCAAAACACTATAGCACAACTGATCACGGCCGCTGCAGGGCTTCTGACGCTCCCGCTTCGGAAGAAGGCGATAGCTAGGTCCCAAAGAGCGGCAATGAGAAAGGTTGACAAGTCCAGGCTCTTGCTTTGGCTTGGACTCGATAATCTTGTCTTCAGGCTCCTCAACGTGCATAAACCGTTTGAACCACGCCATGAGTTCGGGGTTAGAGCCAATGTACCCGGCAGCCCGTTTTACAAGCACATGCCGGTCAATGAGATCAGTCGAGTAGAGATTGCAAAGTTTGAGGAACTCGCTGAATGTCTGCTTGTTCCCAATGTATTTCTTAACACGATCGAAGAATGCGAATTCCTCTTGAGTTGGTGTAAGCGAGAACGTCGGTTGAATTGGCTCGGGCAGTGCAGGAACAAGAGTTGGCGAAACTGCCAGAGCTTCTGTCTGGTTCGGCTTTGTATGGTGAACCTTGGCTCTCTTATTGGCATTGCCAGGCTGGAGCGTTGGTGGTCGACCCCCCTGAACATCACCCATTCGTGCTGCATCAGCTCCTGCAGAAGGCCCCGAGAGTGATGGTCCCAGCGTTGATGGAGCTCCAGGCCCTGGTCGGCGCTTCTTCCCTTCTTTACCAGAGTCCTTAACATTGAACTGGCCGAGAGGTGGCATTTTAACATCACGGTTGGGAGTTTGAGATGGAAGAGCGTTAGCGCTGGGATAACCGGGCTCTCCACGCACATTGCTCATGGGAGCCGCCTCCTCTGCCTGACGCGCAGCGGCCTGTTGCTTCGCATGAGCAGCGGATTCAGGCAGAAATTGCTTAAAGTCTTCCAATAAATCCGGCGCGGTATTGAACAACTGAGTCACTTGAGCGTAGACGTCCTGGATAGGTTTTGACTCGCGCTGGTATGTCTGTAAGATCTCAAGGAATTGCTTGTATATTTCAGGGGCACTCGCGAAGCGGTTCTATTTGAAGGGTAAATAACGACAGCAAAGCGAAGGGTAAGTGGGATGAGTAGGAACCATAAGACTAACCTTGATCTTGTTAACATAGCTGATTGCATGGTTGAACTCCACAGGTCCACGCTTCAGATCCGCCTGCGACGAGCCCTGAAGCATATTTGATCCGACACCAGCCAGACTGCTCATAGGCTGCGTTAAGCTAGGGCCTTGTCCTGAAGCGGGAGACATCTGCATAAGAGAAGGGCGGCCTAAACCCGCGGAGGCAGCAGAAGCTGCACCCTGAAGCTGCGACACACCCCGCTGGTCCTGTCCATGAGCCATGGCTGCTGCACCCGCCGCTGCTTGCTGTTCCTGTTGTGTGGGGTAGTCAAAGTGATGGTCTTGAGGCTGACCCTGTCCACCTTGCTGCCCGAATATACCTGGGCCCATCATGCGAGATCCGGGAGAGTAGGAGCCAGGAAGGTTGCTTTGTTGCTGCTGGGGTTGATGTTGCTGCCAGCCAGATCGAGATTGGTCAAAGAACTCAGGTCGATTATGAGGAGCCATCCCACCAGAGGGACCCAAGTCACCAGATGAATCCATCGAGTGGCGTGGGCGCGGGGGCATACTGATAGTGTTCGTGCCAGAGGGGGTGGTCACTCTAATGACGTCTGGGTTGTCATCTGTCCCACATTCGATTCTATAACCAGGTGGTAGGAAGGTATTAAAACCCTGGATGAGAGCAGGGTGACCGTTAAAGAGAGTAGAGACGCGTTGAATGACTCCAGGTGTATCGATGCTATTTCAGTCACCGTTAGTGAGACACATTCAGTGAATACGCCTGGATGACTAATACTCACGCTTGACTTTTGAAATCTTTCATTATGTCAAGGAAACGGTTGTATACATCTGGTTGGTCGACGAATCGTACCTTAACCTGATCCAAGTAGCTGAGTGCATCCTGAAAATTAAGTCAGTTGGTCTGTCCGTTTAGGAATGACAAAGCTGAATATCGATAGAAGCAAAGGAGACTGACGTTTAAGATTGGCTGTTGACCCTGGGCAAGCGCAGCAACATTCCCTGGGATCTGAGGCCCAGATCCGTTGAATCCCATCATGGGCTGTCCTGGGGGCCCAGTAGGGTGCTGCATATATGACCTGGGAGTTCCCTCTCCATGTTGAATTTGCGGACCATACATGCCACCGGGAGCGCCAGACGACTGCATAGACCCTTGGGGACCATTGGGTGGATTCGACCCCAGGTTGGACAAAAGACCATTGGGGCCATGTATGGAGTTCGGTACCTTCGACGCTACAGGCTGATGCAAAGGAATCGACCCCGTATGACTTTGAACCGGGTGGTGCTGCTGTTCCCGCTGTCGCTCCAGCTGTTGTCGCTCAAGTTGTTCACGCTCACGCTGTTCACGCTCTCTGTGGGCCATCTCTTCCTGACGCTGTCTTTCGATCAATTCGCGCTCTCTCGAGTCTAGCTCACGCTCTCTGTTAATGGACTGAGGAGAAGGATGTTGCATCGCTTGGCCGATGCCTGGTAGCGAATGTCCCGCGCTATGGGAGGGAGCAGAAGGGTGCTGTCCATAGGCAGGAGGTTGATGTGGGCCGGCATGGCCCTGGCTCAACTCTGCCAGGCCGGGAAGTGAGTGCCCTGCCGGTTGGCTCGCCGGATGATAGGGGCCTAGCGCAGCAGACAAAGTAAGTCAATAAACCAATACACACTGCTAGCATTATGGGAATGCGGCATGGAAGGGGGATCCTAACCAGCTGGTGGAAGAACGGGTCCGGTAGGCTGCGACGATGGGCCTTGTTGAGGCGGTGGGTTTTGACTATATAGGGACACAACCGAATCAGTACGTTCCATCTCCGGAGTATAAACCTCAAGATCGCTTCTGGAATCTGCCTGAGACCACTCACCTGAAAGAGCCTAGAGGGCGAGGTTGTTGGCTCATTTGATCCATCCCCGGGTGCGATGGCAGGCCGCCGGGGTGCCAGTTATCATTCCCAGAGGAGTTCATGATCTGTGCATGAATAGATTGCTAGAAACAGTCTCTGACTTTTATATCTAATCAACAATAAAGTATAAGTCTGAAGGTGAGTTGTGGGGCCGCTGATAACTTCAGCCTAAGCTCTTAATCTGTTATTTCTTTTCGCACGGTTGAGTACTCTTTCTCCAAGTCATTTCACAGCGACATCACTGTGTTGGAGACTGTGTCAACCACACAAGCACAACACAGATAAAGTGATAACAAGTACAAGATCCAAAGGATCTATACCAGGAGGCAAACAGAGCGAATAAGGAGGTAAAAGAGACTGTTCAAGCCAGCAAACGGCACACTTGATTGGAAATGATGGTTTGCGCGCGACCGATCACGGCTCCTGCCAGAGAGAAGGCGGAGAGGGACTTTGACTACGCTAACCCCTTTTAATCTATAGCGCCTCTCTTCCGCACCATCCTTTTTCCGTAGTTTATATTCACAGCGTGACAGACTGTTGATTGGCTCACGCAAAGGCGGGATCAGCAGTGCCAGGGACTGTCTTTTCAAGCCTTAGAGCCTTAAACCTCCGACGTCATTGACTGATAAATCCGGCGACATGTCGAGTCTGGATCCAGCAAGCTTGGCCGTGACAGACGTCTACTGCTAAATCAAATGAGCGTCACTAACTGCCTACTACAAATCTCAAGGCATTGTTCCTGCTGTAAGGCCTTTTGAACTGTTTTAGACATTCCATTTTCTGTTACTTATCAATCGGTGCGCGCACGACCTAGCATCGCGGGTGGATCTTCAAAGCAGTCACAACTTTCGTCTTAAGGAGGTCAATCAGATCCACAAGTCGACTCAACGGACAGCATAGTTCAAAACCCATAGATTCATTATCTACTCGGTAGCCCTAGGTATCTAGATACCGAACCCAATTCAAGCCAGACCATCAAATTGTCCTGCTCTAGCAGTAGCCAATGCCCGAATTAGCCGGGTCGGCAATATGGTTAGGGCGAGGGTCCCTTGCTCCTCGTCACCGGATGGAGTATGTTGCACCCATGACTATTCAATAGGTATACAGAACCGGGCAAGAAACGGAAAGGATGCCCGTTGGGGGCTCCACGTCTTTCTCTATGACATCCATTATAACGCCCCCAAATGAATCATGAAGAAATCACCAAGTCCCACTGCGAAGTAAAAGAACGAAACGGACACATCGTCAGAGCGTTAAAGTGGTGGAGAGTTAGAGAATAGGTTGGGTTGGCTCACGGCGGCAAATGCACGGCCAAATTTCAACAAAGGGGTGGTGGATAAGGGTAGAAGGAAAATCTGAACCTGAACTGGCAACTTAAATTTTGGTACTGCGGATGCTGCTGCTAGTATCCTCTTTTCTGCTTTATACTTTGTTTCATGCATGTTTTGCCCGAAATTGACATCCTGTCCACTTATGAATATGAACCATCCTGTAGCGTACTTACAATGCGGAGAAAACGAAAAGCTTTTAGGTTCAACAACGTCAGCATATAGGCAGCGATGGGACAGGAAGACGGTACAGAAGCCACTTACGTTGTTAGTAGCAGCAATAGCAATACTATCCTCATAAGGATGCCAGCTCATGTGTAAGATCTTCTTGTTAAAGTCGATCTGATCTGCATCAGTCTCCTTCTTCATCCGGCTGCCAGGACCACCAGGGCTTCCAGCTCGGCTATTTCCCTTCTTGCCATTGGCACCCTTGTTCATCGGCGTTGGCACTCCAACCTTCTTTGCTTTAAACGCCGATTTATCCGCCTGCAGCACAATCTCGGTCTCCTTGGCAGGATCGGTGGGGTAGATCATAAAGTTGTTGTTGTAACTTCCAGTCATGACATTCTCCGCGTCTCCCGAGAAGACCACTTCGAACTTATCGAAGATACTGTCATTCTCATAAGTGTCACACAGGCGTGGCCGCAAATGTTCGTGGATGGGAATCGTCTTCACTGGTTGGCGCTCCATGTTAACATCCCAGATCTTAACAGTGAGGTAGTCCCTCGACACAATATAGCGACCATCATGCGAAAACCGTACGTCGGAAATCGAAGAGATAATCTCGGAGAAGAATGAGCGGGAGGAGGCATCCTCCTCTTGTTCGAATACTGCACAGTAAAAATACAGTCAGTCAGGTGCGGGCTTCAAGCAAAAATATTATCAGACACCTACGTTTATGGTGTTCATCACACAGGGCCCGCTGTCGCATGTCGGCAAGCTTGATTGTGCCTTTCGAGCTGGCGTACATAAACCAATTGCAGCTGGTCGGGTGGAATTCCGCAGCCGTAATCACTTCCGTCAACTCCTCCATGTTTGCGGGTTTAATGTCGACAATGTTGAAACTCTGGTCTTGAATATTAAGGTTCCACAAATTAATTCGGAGGTCATCACTACTAATAAAGGTTTCCCCGTCGCTGTTGACGGAGATGCTGTTTATGTGGTATGCGTGTGCGTTTGCATACGTCCTTCGAGGCACGGCTGCCACAACTGTATCATGGTGTGTCATCCTGGGAAGCTTCAACATAGATGGATCCTTGAAAGACAAACGAGGGGCGCGAGGCGCCCCTCCACCCCCACGCCTGCGGGCGTAAGCTCAGTCGAGAGGTTATTTTCCGCAACGACCTTCAACGACTTGTCGAACACCTTCCAGAGCTTTATCGTTTTGTCATTTGTCGAGAGAAGAAAATGAGACGAGTTTGATCGTCTGCACCACTTAATCTTGTTGATCTTCTCCTCGATCTCTAGTGATTTGAGATAGTCGAATTCTGGCTCGTGGGACTGGAACTCGGTGTGAAATTTATACTCGCATGTTTTTTTCTAAGCCATCGGTTAGGACCTTCTACCTGTGGAGAGTAATATTGCAGGAAAGTTTGTACCGTCTCATTCCGCTCAAACAATACTACTCTCCCACCCTTATCTCCTGTAGCAAGATAGTTTCCGGTATGATCGAACTCGACAGTAGAAATGATATCCGCTAGAGTGTTAAGCCGTGTTAGCAACTATAAACTAGGACCCGCTATCGTGAAGGCGATATTTTGGTACATCCAACTCTATGCGTTGAAGGTGTTATACATACCTTCTGTGATATCTTCCACGTCGCCCTTGTCACCAAAGCATCTATTAAAGCCAATTAGCACCTCCCTACTACCTTGGGTAGGCTGACCACTGCGACTGGAAAGGCCTTCCGAACCCTCGTGGCAGAGAGACCAGCGGGAAGGATGGTTACATCATCGGCGGGACAGCCTCCCAACAACCGCAGCAGGGGAGTGGGAGGGCCTAAACTCACTGTGTGAACTTCCAGGTAGGTGTACCTGGATCCCTGTCTACCATTTTCTTTCAATAAACCACCCTTGTCTGGGGCAGCTGGCCAACAGACAATACTCGTGGAGCAGTGGGTGGACCGGGATCAAAGAGCGGGGCCACCAGAAACTGGCGTCGTTACAGTAGGATAAGGAACAAGTCTTTTCCGCAGTCGTCGTTTATGTAACTTTCCGCGACCAAGAGGATCGAAGGTGAGTGCGATGATAAAGTGACCTCCAGTTCCGATGTAGGAGTGGAGATAAGAGAGGATGGGGTGGTGTAAGATAGGGCCGCAACGTCAGACAAGGCCGGAGCTGAGGCAGAGATCGATTTTTGTGAATTGCAGGCTGAAGAAGACAAAGGATTGACAGCCTGTGCTGACGAAACCAGAAGGGCGGGGAACGATGGGAAGGATTTTCCAGTCCTTTTCTTCTCTGCAACGTCTCTAATTGATTTTCGTGGTTGATCTTCTCTGCAAAAAGCGAAGAAAGGGCACTGATAAAGCAACCACCACAGCCACAACCACAAACTAACCACCTTTGTCAGAAGAGGAGGGTGGTTGAGAAAGAAAGTGTGGGGGGAGTTGTTGCAAAGACGGGATGGATGATGGGAGGAGGTAAGGTGTTTGGATTGAGGTGAGGGCGGTATTGGAAAGTACCGTCTGGTGGTGGTGGTTTGTGGTGGGGAGAAGATTGAGTGAGGGAGTGGCTGCCCGTGAACCCACGCAGCAACGCAACGACCCAACGCAACCCACCCGCACCACCAACTGGGCGCTGACATCAACACACTACACTTCCGATGTACTCCTGCTTCTTTCTACCAGTGGAAATTCTACGGCGCGAGGCCTCTTAGTGCCTGTTCATACTCGGGTTCTCCAATTATCTGTGAGAACTATACATCATGAGAAGTTTAAGTCATTTGTCTCTGCTTAAAGAGCTGAGTACAGATTCTTCACCCTTGCGTCACCTTTTGGTCGAAACGTGGATTCGCATTCTTTGATATTTATTGACCATACTTCCGATGCTGGTTTCGGAGTGAATCACCTTTTCTATCACGTGACACTTGTAGAAGAATTTCATCTGCTACTGACCTCATCAACGAAGGAGTCTTTACTTCAACCTTACAAGGATTCATGTTTCTGTATTTAAAACTCACTATTTCTATGCCAGAAATAGGAGTATAGCTCCGTCATAATAGCAACATGCGCATAGCTACAGCTTTTATGTCTAAGATGCCTATAATACATACATCCAGTATATGGACTGAAATATGGAAGCAATTGCGTCAACTACTGCAGCGCCAATTCATTATTAAATCACTAACACGAGCAAGCGAACAGAATAGCATCTTTGTTCAAACAAAAACGACATGACCGGCTGCTATCTAGTGGATTAGTTACAAGACTGTTCAGAACAGCCATACTAACTTTTTATCTATACATCCGTGAAATCTGAGAGAACCCCAGACTGCAACAATTTTACAGAAAAGATGCAACGAGCAACGAACAACTCGGAATATAAGACTGCGATTCTCTTGAAAGAAATAAGTTCCAGTTTCTGCCAAGCCACTCAAGACCAAGCATCAAATTCCATACGCCGTGCCAACCCCATGCTAATGTTGGAGTTCGTCCCGCAAGTGTGTGGTCCACGGAATTTGCCGCTATTTTAGAATGTAAGGAACGGGCTACTAGTACTTCATCTAGAGGCCTACCGAATGACTTTTCTTTTTGTTTTTGCCATAGAAATATACTTGATATAGGTATGTCCCAAGCCCCCAAATTGCCAGAATAGATAACTATACTGCTTGCAGCTGAATCTCTGCTTATCAGAATCACTGTATCTACAAAAGCCATATCAAGTTGTTCTACGAAGGCGTGCAACAAAAGACCTGGTAGAACGCTAGCAATCGAGGGGTGTAAATAGTAAGATCCGAAATATTCCCAACAATCTGCGGCCAGATTTGGCGTAAATAAAGTTATTTATCACTTTTAGAACTCATCCAACAGCTGTCAGTGTGGCAGAGTGGTTTAGGATTGACTGTATGCATCTCTGCTTCTCTATTAATATATCTCATCGCTGACAATCCTTCCAGAGAACCTGGAATTTGTTAACAAATCTGTTCGCGGGCGCAGGTAAATCCTGCCACTGACGACTTTTTGCTCCTGGCTGAAACGCCTAGGGCAAGACAAACGTGCCTCATCTATTAGCCGGTAAATGCCCTTCGCAGTAGCCTAAGTTTACCCTATACTCTGGATTTAAATAAAGTAATGGCATTGCTCTAATACTCCGTACAAAATCGGCCCGTCAACCGCACGACCGATCAATCCTATTCCTGATCCGGGAGGCCTACCGCAGTGAGAAGAGCAGAACAGTTAGTATAGATCGTAATTAAGAAACCCGGCTATATCTAAACAGTAAACTAGACAAAATTTCTAGAAGAGAGGGACTATATCAAGAATAGTTCATCATTTATCAAGAAAGCTGCTGTAGGGTATTACTAGCTTAGATCATCTATAGCTCTCCATTTGTATCTGCCGGCAATGATCTTCTACTCAAAAGCACCTAGGTTCTTAAAGTAATCGAGGTTACAGAATTGAAAGCAAAGAGATTGGGCGCTAAGCTAAACGGCGAATTGATATAATAATCATTATAACTACGGATACATATTGCAAAACCCCGCGACTCAATATATATACTGCGGCGGCTAATTTGATTTCCCATACCCCCGTACAAATTCTCCAACAGGGTACTAAAAGGTTTAATCCGACATCATCTGTCATGTGATTTCCTTAGATTAGTGGTCTACTGCTCAGTGTTACCTTGAGAATATCATGCTCCTTTTCATACCATTATGTATCTATTTAGACCAAGACACGTGACTAATAGAGATACACTGGGCAGATTACCTTTCCTAAAACAGTAATCCCTATCCACTACTAGCCGAAGACGGTGAAAGTCAGTCAATCAGAAGAGGACGTGACAAACCTCAAGAGTTGACCTCCGCCTGCGCTGCTCTCGTCCCAACTACTAGTATACAGCACAGAGTAGTTAACTAACCATTGCCGGGCAGCCAAAAAAAAGGAGCTGGTGGAGAAAGAGGGCCTGATTCATCTGGATCAGAATTGTCACCTTCTTGGGTATACCGTATCCCATCACCCTAGAATCACTTTGAAGTTCTTGTTCTTTTTCACAAGCGATGAATCATGACGCTAAGCAAGAAAGGGGACATGGTTTATATTCCAGTGGGATATTCTTTTCCACAAGCAAGAGATAGAGCGCGAACTCCAGCCTATTGGAATAAATAAAATTTTATAACTTGTTGGATCACCACAACAGCAAGCGTGGTAACGTTGACTTTTAAACCATCGCTTCCTATAGGATCATTTATGACAGCACTACGCCTCTACTAGTATCACACAGAACATAATGTCGAGAAGAAAAGACAGAACTTAAACCTCATTACACTAGAGAATTCACAGGTTCTTGTTATACAGATAAAATTTTGCATCTGTAAGAATTCCCTATGCGGCCCCCTGTTCCGGAATGCCTAGGGAAGTATTAAGACCATCGATACTCCGTACACCGGATTTAAATGCTATGCATTACACCTCGTATCTATAGACGTAGGTAGGGGGTTCTCTCACCTGTAAGGTGGCCCTGAAGGCCCTCCAGGCTAGTTCCTTACACTGCCTAAAACAATGGAATTGAGAACAAGTGAATCAAGGATAAAAGATATTGAGCACAAAGAGATTCGTCACATGCTATTTCTGTCCAACCGACAAAAACTCCATTAAGCCGAACGGACGAGCTTAACCTCTTCCAGACCATATACTTTTATCTACAAACTATACACAATCGCCCATCTCTTCTACCGAACAGTCCTCCCTCCCTTGATCCCCCGAAGAATTCTAACTCTGATAAATAAACACCCAGTAACACCCGTCTCACAGTCCTTCCCGTCCTTCTCCAAATTACGACCCCACACTAAACCCGAATCATGACGGAAGACAAGAAGCGGGGCACCACCAACAACAACCATAGCAATGACGACCCCTCCGACAAGCCCGTCAAACCCGCCAAACCAGCCGACAAGAACGACACAAACACCCCATCCCTAGCAAGTCGCATCCAAAGCTCAGCCTCAGGATTAGCCCGGCAAGCCTTCTCCGCCCCCGGTTCATCAGGCGATGCAGCACAGTTCCTCACCACCGGTAATAAAACCGGCACATCGTCATCCTCATCCTCCGCCCTAGCAGCCGCAGAACAATACAGTCAAGTTTCCGGACCCTCCGCCTCATCATCAGCGGGGCCTCCATTGCGCGATAGCAATGCGGGGACATTCCGCTCAACAACTACACCCCAGCAGGGTGGGTTTGAGATCCCTCATCTGACAGAGGAGGAGTTCGCGCAAACTGGGAACGATTTCCTGGAGCCATCTACATCCACCTCTACGAGAGACAAGGGCAAGGGAAAAGCGAAGGAACAATTCTCTTCGATCTCACACCACCATGCCCCAGAACCGACCGACGGCTCAGCAGTCATCTCCCTCCTCTCAGATAGAACCTTCGATCCCACATTCCCGCACGAACCCGCCGAAATAATCGAAACAGAACCACTGCCCCCTCAGCAACTCACACCAGCGGAGATCCAAATGCTCGAGTCCTTCCGTCGCCATATTACCCCCCAACCGGACACTTCCTCTACCCACCGTCTTACGTCTGCCAGTCTTGTCCCGGAAATTGATACAATCCTAGATAGTGCTCCTGCGCAAACGGGTGCGGACGCTGCTGCCTTAAGGGATACTGTTTTGGCTAGTTTGCCGGGGTCGGAGGATTGGGTTGCTGTGGAGGAACGGTATCATGATGAGGTGTGGGGGTGGTTGAAACCTACTTTGGAGGCTGCTGCTACAGAGCTGGACGAGAAGAAGGAGGACCAAAGGGGAGAAGATGGGCCTGCCGTGCAGCGATTGAAGATGGTTTTGACGCATATGCGGGCAAAGCTCTAGAAGTCTTGTTGGGGAGGGAAACGTAA